GAGGTCAGGTCGTGCGTGGTCTAGCGTTAAGGGCTAACGTTAAGATTGACCATTGTTTATCCGGGGTTGGTTACTTATACACCCCCCCCCCCCCCACATACCCCTTCACCCCCCTCCCACGACCCCCCACATACCCCTTCACCCCAACGTCCCCCCCTCCCACGACCCCCCACATACCCCTTCACCCCAACGTCCCCCCTCCCACGCCCCCCTCCCACCATTTCATTCCTCTATATCCTTCAATTAGTGACAAGGCTAAGAAGCTAACAATGTTGGGGTTTTTTTTCAATATTTTTTTTTTATTTTTCATTTGCATTTTAAAGAGACGGTAAGTTCCAATCGGCGAATTCCCTGTAGGTTTCTAGAATGTCCATTGGCTTCTTAAACCCCGGATTCGTGTCTGCCACCAACCTCAAGCGTGGCAATATATAGTCAGTGTATGCTAACAATCTGCAGAAAAGAACAAAACAAATAGGTATCAGTTAAATAAAGCAATATTAATATAAGAATAGCATTGATTAGTCTCGGGTTCGCTAGCCTAGAGGTCGGGTGTTCGATCCCTGCATTGGCTGAGAAAGTTCACCCCGATTTCTGGCGGGGTTTCCCCATTGGCCGTGATTCAGGTCGGAGGTCCTGACAAGGACGGCAGTCTAGTCGTTCGGATGGGGCGAAAAACTGAGGTGCCGTGTGTACACATTGTCGTGCAGGTAAAAGGTCCCTTGGCCGTCGGAAATCGATATAAGAGTAGGCCGTAGTAGCGCTACCCGGGCAAAATTTCACTCATAGCACACTGTCTGGCTTATGCCCTGCCCTTCCTTAGCACACGTTAGGAGTAGAACAGTAGGATTTTACCCCCCCCCCCCTCCCTATTTCATTTCGGTATTGACGGCGTGGGGGGGGGGGGGGTATACACGCGAGCATCTTCAAATGGCGGGAGGTGAAATGAAGTGAGACGTTTAACAGCCTCGCTGTTTGTTTCCTATACCTAAATTAATATAACATAGTTTGAGTTAATAGAAATAAAACATGATCTGGATGCAACATTTTATTCTAGCATACTAGATATACTATAAAGTCGTACCTGGTCAGCCGCCAAAGCTGATCTGATTTACATGAAAAACCAAAGCCAATTTATACTAAATTCACTTTGATAACACGGGTAATTAATAATATGGAACAAAAGGACTTATGTAAAGACTACATAATTAAATCATTTGTCATTGATAGATTATCTCACTATAAGCATATGGCAGGCTTCAGAACAATTGATGTGTGACAGCTAACGCTAGTAAACGTCATTAGTGATCAGCGGATTATCTAACTTGACCATTATACATATGGCAGCATCTGGTTCTTTATTAAATGAACAATAGTGTGGTCAATTAGAGAACAGTGGAGAGTTTATTACACATGCGGTCATAGGATAATTATAATCTTTTACCTATCACTGTCTCTCACACTATGTAACATTAATGCCATAGGCTATATGGGTGTCGTTCAAAACAAAACTACGTTCAAGAATCGATACTTAGAAACCACAAACAAACACACGTGGCCTGTAAAGTACAGTCTGCTTGACTGAACACCCTTGAATGGGTAACCAGATACAGACAAGCCCCGCATTGCAACGGTAGTGACGAGCCCCCTCCTTTCTTCCGAAACACCATACAAGTAGTTAAAAAACTTACGTTTCTTTTTCCTGGCTAGGCGTGGCTGGTCTAGTCGGGATGAATGGGTTGTGGGTAGACAGCAAAGCGTCCGCGTCCGTCAAAATATCCCGTAATTGCATTACAACATCAGGCGTGCCCAAGGAATTGGTATATGGTGCCAATGTTGTCGTAATCAGGCTAATGGTGCACAGTATAAAATTTCTAACATCAGAAATTGCATACCTTAAAAAAAAGACAAAAATATAATATTAAAGATATTTTCACCGTAAAATATTTAGGCCACAGGGTGTGGTGTCAAGGGTTAACGCTTATATCGATCTTTTACGCGTACATGACTATGTGCACGTGGGGTTCTGCATTGTTTTCGGCCTATCCGGACGACTAGGCAACTGTCTTGCCAAGGGTTCGGCCCACATCACTGTCAAAAATCTTGTTTATGCAACGAATTCAACAACGGTATCCAACGACAGTTGCGCCTATCGCTGTTAATCCATACAAGATGCATTATAGCCAAATTATGATAAATTAAATAGTTTGAAAATGTCTTTTAGACCGAATATATCGTCAAATCATACCGTACTCATACAATGTTATGCCTCTTTAAAAGCTTCAAATTATGTAGGGGCTAAGCTCCCCCCACCCCTCATCTCCCCAACCCCCACACCCACCCACATGCTTTCAGTCTAGACCATACCCGTACCCCGTAACTTAAAATAGAAATAACGATTACAGATTTTTTAAAAGTAGGTTTTGAATCATAATTTTGAAAGAAAAAGAAAAAAATAGTAACTTACATTTTAAATTATTTGTCTTTTTTGTATAGGCTTCAGGTGTTTGGATTTTGTCAAGTCTTTGTGTTTTGGTGTCGTATTCTTTTCAGCCACAAGTCGAAGTGACAATTTTCATAAGTACGGCTGTTTTTAAAGGGTATAGCATAATTTTATGACCAACTGCAAATTGATTTTTTTTCGATATCATGCCAAAAAATATTCCAAAAATATTAGTCTAGATGTTATGAAAACATTTGGGGAATAATAATAAGGTCATTGGATATATTATTCGTTCTCTTAACCGTATCATAAACAAAACCAAGATGCTAGGGTGGGGAAATTATTATAAATTTTATTAATCTCTTTTTGAGGCAATAGTATTTTTTCTGAAATATATTAATTTTTTTTGTTAACCGAGTTGTCTCCATTGGATTATAATTTATTTCAAAATAGGTATGTGTTATAAATATGGGGCATGGCTATACCGTAATACATGTATGTGTCCATTTAGAATTATTCCGGTCATAATAATTAAACGACTCTGTTACATATTTTTTTTAGCATAATCCAAATACAATGTGGTACAATCCTGTTGTAGCGCTTTATTTTGAAAATAGACTCGCGCTTGAAATCTTTGAAAAAAAGAAAAAAAAAGAGAGTTATCCCCCCTTTTATACGTTTTCAATCCGGGGCTTTTGCTAACTTTATTTCTCCCGGAAATAGAAAAAAGAGTTATCCCCCTTTTATACGTTTTCAATCCGGGGCTTTTGCTAACTTTATTTCTCCCCGGAAATAGACTCGCGCGTGAAATCTTTGAAAAAAATTTAAAAAAGAGTTATCCCCCCCTTTTATCCGTTTTCAATCCGGGGCTTTTGCTAACTTTATTTCTCCCGGAAATAGAAAAAAGAGAGTTATCCCCCCCCCTTTTATACGTTTTCAATCCGGGGTTTTGGCTAACTTTATTTCTCCCGGAAATAGAAAAAAAGAGAGTTATCCCCCTTTTATACGTTTTCAATCCGGGGCTTTTGCTAACTTTATTTCTCCCCGAAAATAGACTCGCGCTTGAAATTTTTTAAAAAAAGAGAGTTATCCCCCCCCCCCCTTTTATACGTTTTCAATCCGGGGCTTTTGCTAACTTTATTTCTCCCGGAAATAGAAAAAAAGAGAGTTATCCCCCTTTTATACGTTTTCAATCCGGGGCTTTTGCTAACATTATCTCCCCTTTAATACATAAGCTCCATTTTTTTTTTTTTTTTTTTTTAAATTATTATTTTTTATTATTATTATTAATTTTTTTTATTAATTTTTTTCGTTCACACTATTGTTCTGGGTGTGAAAAACCATATTCTAATAAGAATAACCATGTGTGTAAAGCGATATGTCGAAGCTGCAAGCAGTTAGGAATTTGTCCTCTGGATAGGCCGCGAATACAGTGTGAACTTTGTCACCGTTATTTTAGAGGCAAAAAGTGCTTGGAGAGACATAACCAAAATGTTCCGTTATACACAGTGTCGACGTGTATGAAATATAGGGCGTGCTTAAAGTGTTATACAACAATAGACACCCACGAAGATGATGCGATTAATAAGCACACCTGTGACGTGCACAAATGTCGTAATTGTATGCAACTGTGCAAGCCTAATCATAGATGCTATATGAAACGGTTATCAGAGGAGGTTGAAGGTGAGACTATCAAATATTTTGTTTGCTGTCTAATAGCTTAGCGTGACGATGTAGACCATACATTATTTTTTCCCTGGCAATTATGTAAAAGATGTATAAACCAAATAGCTTTTATACCTTTGGAACGTACACAGTGAGGTTGTCACTAGGGAAAATACTATTACGAAGCCTCAAAAGCTCGGGGGTTGTACTTTTCAAATCGAGAAACAAATACGAATATGGTTTTCGTGTAGCGTCCTCGTAACTTTCACGAACAAATTTAGTTTTCCCCGGATACATCTGCTTGGCTAATTGTTTTATAGCCGACACATCTCGAGGGTTCTTAAATGTGATCATGTAATGGGCATTTAGAACAAATTTAGTTTTCCCCGGATACAATTGCTTGGCTAATTGTGTTATAGCCGACACATCTCGAGGGTTCTTAAATATGATCATGTAATGGGCATTTAGACTGATGGTCCTATGATGTTTACCTTTATGAAACAGATTCTGGACAATATAAACGACCGATGCATTTTCGTGATGACTCCCTCTAGTAAAGAGTTTTGAAACTTTATCTGTCGTTTCATCCATTAGATCGTCGATGATCAAAAGGGAACGCTCCTTAGGATTTAGACTAACCATCCACAAACTCAACCACCCCTGCTAACTCGGCGTACAGTGGCTGCAAAACCCATAACACCATACGATACGATCTACGGCTTGGTCGACAATTCTAGAATCAGACGTTTGACCAACCGACTCTTACCAGATTGCGTAGGCCCTGATATCATGCAAGTAAACGGCCACTTTAATCTAAAATCCATTCTGTAAGCTACGGTAAAAATAACAAACATCTTTTTTAAAAACTAAAGATCTTTTATTATATTAAGGTAACAAAAAAAATGTTGACATTTAATACATAAAAACGAACATTATTTGGAAAGTGTGCGTATACATTCTAAGATATTTTCTTTCCAATACAGAGTCCCACGCAGAAACAATTCTTCACTGTGGTTCCGAATCTCAGGCACGAATCGGGCTATCTGCAAAAATCGATCTTTATCCAGCTCAAGAAAGCATGTTTCAAAGTACAATTCCAAAAAATTGATTTCGTCGAACCAACGGTCGATTCCCAAACACGTATGTTCTAGTTGACCTCCGTGGTTATTGAGACAGCCCTCGCAACGGGTAGTTAAACTTTTTGAAATCTCTGTACTGATTATGTTCCCCAGGTGGACCGTAATGGTCGACATTTACCTGTACAGAGAGAGAGAAATGGGGTTTAACGTTACCTGTGCAGGTTTTGAACACACGTACATGGTATGAGTGGTGTAACGTTTTCAACTTCTTCAACAAGATCTTCATGGAAAATGAGTTGATTGTCTGCGTAAAACCCTTCTACACGTACTTTGGTGGTGTGGCTATCAGGCTGGTCCCATCCTTCATTTTCGGCGGCTGAAACACATTCATCGGGGGTATTGCACCATGCCTGCCCTGATTTTAACAAACTCCAATCCTCCACATCAAGACCGGACTTGAACGATTTTGTAACTCGTGTTACGGCTGTTAAGTCGGGAAAAGTTTTTTCGGGTATCACAAGCTGTCTACCATTTTGTTCTCTCCAGAACAATTTGACGAACTGTCCCTAGCTCACAGCTTAGCTCGTTGTTGATATTAAATTTCGTAGGTTTTGTACATGCTAAAATATCTCTTAAAACGATCGGCGACATGACTCCATTCTTTTAATGTCATCATAAAACCATTTTACGTCTCAAACCTAAATAACCAGCCTTCAGTAATATTTCCGTATCTGTATTGCCCTTAGGGCCTAAATTCATTGCCACACGAACAGAAACATCGGATACCATAGAAGCCATATTGTTTCATATAATAACATACATACTAGTCACCCTTTATTTAAATATGTACAGCTAGAAACACCATTGGTCTCCCAGGAATACACCAATTAAAAAATGTTTGACAATCATTATACGGAGGCCAGTCTTTTACGAACGCCTACCATATCAGGGGGGGGGGGGGGTCCTCCGATGTAAAACGAGATTCGCACAACTTGAAACTAGCTTTGACAGCCTCCCATTGGTCCAAATTAAAATGAACACCCTTTCGTGTAGGTTTGGGCATTCTCTCTCCCTCACACCACCAAAATTTACGACAGACAGAAACAGACAGAAATGGGGTTTCACGTTCACTCGACACAAACAAGGTCATTTCGGGACAAACATTTGGTTTAATTTTATTTCAATAATTCGCTTGCGCGTAGGGGTCTTTAGCAGTGGGAGGAAACCGGAGGACCCGGAGAAAACCCACGAGGTTGGACAGGCGACCCTACTCCTTGTCACGTACAACCGGGGCAAAATTTACGAATGTTGACTCCCGGTAGTTGACTCCCGGGTAATTGGTATCCACAGTTATATATACATTATTTTCTTTGTAAATACTCATCCACGTCTACAGCCATGTCCATTAACATTTTCCACTGATCTTCGTGCAACATGTTCAACCTCGTGGGTTTTCTCCGGGTCCTCCGGTTTCCTCCCACTGCTAAAGACCCCTACGCGAAAGCGAATTATGTAAATAAAATTAAACCATATGTTAGTCCCGAAATGACCTAGTTTGTGTCGAGTGGACGTTAAACCCCATTTCTCTCGTTCTCTCGTGCAACATGATACCGTTCGGTGTAGGGTATCGATGACCACTTATGGTGTGACCATACAATCTGATGTGATAACACACGGTTTCTTGCCAAATACATTTTACAACAAAATAATAATTTCCTATATCCTCTTGATACAAATTCACAACAGAACTCACGATGTTAACTTATTGGAGTGTCTCTGTAAAACAATTCTACTTTTAACTTTGGATCCACCTTTTTATACGACAATTTTCTAAACCACAACACAAAATTCAATTAAACGTCACGTGTATACCACGTGATTTCATAATTGTATACAAATTTTAGACATCATGAAATAAACTTAATGTGTTTTACTTTTTAAAAAATATATACAATGCAATATTCATTTTAATATTATACCATTTAATTATTCAGATTTCCTTTTAGAGGTAATATTTAATTATTTACATTTTCAAAGTTAATATTATAAACACAAATACAAGTTTTATTTCCTTTGTAGCATAGAACGGTGAGAGCTAACACGTGAACAAAAAATAATTCGCCTGCTCAGAAATGCAGACGACTGTAGTCAATAGACCGGCAACTTAACCACGTGGTCGAACACACGTTACAATAGATAATTATTCAAATAATAACACTACAGTCAACACAAAAAGAACAAAACAGACCCATTCAAATAATAGAATATAAACACAATAGATCTAAGACACTCCATATAATGGACTATTATTATCATAGGTCATTTTGGGACTAACACATGGTTTAATTTTATTTCAATAATTCACCTGCGCATAGGGGTCTTTAGTAGTGGGAGGAAACCAGAGAAAACTCACAAGGTTGGACAGGCAACCCTACTCCTTGTCACATACAACCTTGGATTCGAAATCACGCCAGTCGACTCAATGACAGACTTTATGATACAGCGCGCAGACTAGTGTTGAAAATCGGATCGAGATTTGTGATCCGAATACTTTTGTTGGTTATACAATTCGGAGACCTGAAATTCTTGAACAAAAGTTCATATACCGGTACTCATAATTTCTTACTTGTTTCAATGTTTATGAGTGTCTGTGTATGCCGAGTATGAAATCGTACTTTCAATTTTCAAATTGTTTGAGCCGCGAAGAAAAAAACATGCCTACCTTTAGCCGTAATTATTAAGACTATGTATGATATCCCAAAAAATCAATGAGGTGAAGAAATTTGTATAGTATAACTACTCCTGTAATCCGCACCCTCCCACTTACCATTTTGCTCAATCAACAGGAATGAAAAAAGTAAAATAAAAACATGTGCCATTTATTCCGCCAAGGTCGTTTGCCTCATTCTGATAATCTACTACTATTGAACCAATCAGTGAGTGGGAATATACGTGACCTAGATCGTTATGAATAAATTTCATTGTGGGAAGTCAAAACATGGTCTAAACTTGTATGCCGTAAACTAGCGCAGGGAATGAATGAATATTTTTTTTTATTTAGACTACTGTTTTCGTTGCACTGCATTAATAATTTTATTAGTTACTATCACTAAATAATATGCATAATATTGACTTTAATTATGCTCAGAGCTGCGTACGTGATCAATTGCATTTGGGAAAATTTCAAAGTAATCAGATGTAAAAATGGCGAAATATAGAGCATACAGAATGTCAGAATATTTTGTAACGAATAGTAAAAGGACAGTAAAATGATTTGGATAACCCTTATTTTGTATCCGTTAACGAATATCCAAATAGTAGTTTCAACACTAGCGCGCATGCTAACCATTCAGCCATCCACCCCCCCCCCTTCTGGGTTCAGATCTGGCCCCTGAGGGAGACAGAACAGTAGGACGTTAAACCCCAGTTCAGTTTATTGATATTGATAAAAATACGTTAAGATAACTGAATAACAAATGCTTGTTCTTCAGAATGAATTATCTTGTGTGTTTTTAGATTACTTCTCTGTGTAAATGATTTACCACAAACATCACATTTATATGGTTTTTCACCCGTGTGAATTCTCATGTGGTGGTGTAGATTATCGTTTTTGGTGAATGATTTATCACAAACATCACATCTATATGGTTTTTCACCAGAATGAACCCTCAAGTGTATCTGCAAATAACGATTCACAGTGAATGATTTACTACAAATATCACATTTATAAGGTTTTTTACCAGTATGAATTCTCCTGTGTTGCTGTAGACTACTATTATCAGTAAATGATTTACTACAAACATCACATTTATATGGTTTTACACCAGTGTGAATTCTCAGATGTTGCTGTAGACTACTACTCACAGTAAATGATTTACCACAAACATCACACTGATAAGGTTTTTCACCAGTATGAATTCTTGTGTGCTGCTGTAGACTAGCACTGGTGGTGAATGATTTACTACAAACATCACACTTATAAGGTTTTTCACCAGTATGAATTGTCATGTGTCGTTGTAGACTTCCACTCTCAGTGAAGGATTTATTACAAATTTCACATTTACATGTTTTTATTCCAGTATGAATTCTCATGTGTTTCTTTAGAGCTGTACTCTGGGTGTATGATTTACTACAAACATCACATTTATAAGGTTTTACACCAGTATGAATTCTCATGTGCACCCGTAGAGTACAACTATGAGTGAATGATCGATCACAACCGCTACATTTGTATAGTTTTTCTTCTGCATGAATTCTCATGTGATGTTTTAGATTACTACTCTGGCTGAATGATTTACCACAAACATCACATTTATAGGGTTTTTCACCTGTATGAATCCTCCTGTGACACATTAGGAAATATTTTTTATTAAATGATTTACTACAAATATCACATTCAAAGCGTTTCTTAGAAGATTTATGACTTGTTTTAGAACCTGTCTGATTTGGATTTCGTATTTCTATATTTTTAACACACTCCTCTTCTTTAACATGTATATCACAGTGTTTCTCTAAATTAGTGTAAGATTTAAATTCTTCATCACATAAATTACACTGATAAACAGTTTCAATATCATCAGTTTTCTCTTCTTTAACATGACAATATCCATCTACATCATCAGTTTTCTCTTTTTTAACATGACAATATTCATCAACATTATCAGTTTTCTCTTCTTTAACATGACAATATTCATCTATATCATCAATTTTCTCTTCTTTAACATAACAATATTCATCTACATCATCAGTTTTCTCTTCTTTAACATGACAATATTCATCTACATTATCAGTTTTCTCTTCTTTAACATGACAATATTCATCTACATCATCAGTTTTCTCTTCTTTAACATGACAATATTCACCTACATCATCTGTTTTCTCTTCTTTAACATGACAATATCCATCTACATCATCAGTTTTCTCTTCTTTAATATGTATTTTACTGTGCTTTTCTAAATCATCATATTGTTGAAAAATTTCATCACATACAACACACTGATAAAATTCTTTAACATCATTAGTTTCCTATAATATATAAAAGTTATAACATCATTAGTTTCCTGTAATATATAAAAGTTATAACATCATTAGTTTCCTGTAATATATAAAAGTTATAACATCATTAGTTTCCTGTAATATATAAAAGTTATAACATCGTTAGTATCCTGTAATATATAAAAGTTATAACATCAATAGTGCACCAACATCAATGGCTGCCGTCCTCAGGGTATAAGGAATAAGTATACGAAGTTCCAAGATAATCCATTCAGAATTGTGGCCTTCAGGTGCTAAAGGCATAAATTGGGTGAAGCTCTGCCCCTGGGGGGCGGGGCATCCACCAAAATCAATAGTTGCTGCCCTTAGGCTATAAGGAATACATATTCCAAGCTGATAGCGATCCATTCAGAATTGCGGCCTGTAAATGAAAAACATAAAAATTGGGCGTGGCTCTGCCCCTAAGGGTCGGGCAATCACCAAAAACAAAAGGGGTCATACTTGGGGTATAAGGAATAGGTATGCAGAGTTTCAAATGGATGTTATTGGGCATGGCTCTTCCCAGGGGGTCGGGCATGCACCAAAAGTAACTTCCAAAGGACAAATATGAAATGAAATGTGCCAAATTGAATTTTAATATATATGTCTTCATGACTGATTAATGAATTCATTATTTGATGAAAAAACAGAGGCAACAATGAACAAAGTCTATTTGTTGTATTATTAAATGTGCCAAAATAAATTTAAGTGCATGCATTTTGGTGTTTTTGATTGATTAATGATGAACAAAACAGTCTAAATCAGAATTTTTACGTCTCGTGTCAGATTCTTACTGGGCTAGTAGAATGTTGGCTGGTCTCGTGTCAGTTTCTAACTGGGCTAGTAGAAGGTTGGCTGGGCTAGTAAGATCTGAAAGCTACTCGCCCAAATGGCTAGTGACCAATTCAGGTTAGTTTCTACCCCTGCCATTCTGTTGAAACTTAAATATGTTAAGGATCAAAAGATCTTGAATGAGAGGATAGACCTATTGATTTTACCTCTTCCCCGTCCATTTCCTGCAAAAAGAGGGCATATCTTGCTAGGCAACCATTTGTTTTAACTGGTCATAACTGATAGCAGTGAATTATTTGATGGATAAGGGACACAAGGAAAGAGTATAAATAAAACTCTATCTTGTTGTTTTCTAATTACCTAATATGTAATAGATGTAACAGACATGAGATGAATTGAAATAAAGATCGGCTGTTCAGTTATCTTATTGCGACCCTCGCAACTGTAGGTCTCAGAGATCAGGATAGAGCATAGCAGGGTTTTCTTCTTCCACTTATACTCACTTCCATATTAAAATCAAGCCTCTTGTTTTTTATTGAATAGTTACATGTGTTCAATAACCTGGAGAAAAGAGTACTTGCGGTCAAATTTACAGTTTCTATTGAACGGGTCGCCCTCTTCAGTGATCCCGACTCCACCAAATCACATCATACCAAAGTTCTTGTATAACTACGCAGAGGTATAATTAGATTTGACCATGTGCCAATCGATCTTCTGTTTTTCAAAGCTTATTAATAGAGACAAGTCAGCGATTCAGATTACTTTCTTTAATGGACATAACTCGACACAATCTGTTTCACAGAGAATTACCAAAGTCTACTAATATCTCTGTAAAAGACAACTGCCTTGAACACATGACGTCACATCACATGGCGTCAATCATTGGCTCAATGGCATGTGCATTGTTTACATAAGACGTTACTGGTTCGGGCACAATGGTGACTTTTACTCATTTAAATACCCATTTACACTAAATAGGAAATAATTTTTACCAACAAATACGTCAAACGCCTTTATTCTAATACATAAAAAAATGTAGAATTTAATTTGTCGGTGTAAGAAAGTGGCGCAGTACGTTGATCCGGCTACTCTTGAAAATTGGGTTAGGGTTAGAAACGAAAGTTAATATCTTTGACCCATTAAGTCGCATAGGTGTCATCCTTATCAGTGACGGCCTAGCGAATATTCACTTCTGTGAACTCGGCAGCCAAGTAAACTGAAAATACAGCACAACACGGCTATTTATCCTTTACTCACCATGTGGTCGCTACTTCATAATGAAACTATAAACAAAAATGGAAAATTGTTGACGTGACTCTACAACACCACGTGGCTAGTAATCAAGTAAACAATAATCTTCACAGGAGCTTACACAAATAACACCAACGAGGAAGAATGCCTTTCGTTTCAAAGTCCACTTCCGGTATAATATGAAGAAGGTTGTATACTAAACTAATTTCTGGATCTACCCGACCCGAGTAACCCACATTCAATATTATTTTATTTATCAAAAATTCTGCCTGTAAAACTGTAATATCTCTATCTTTTCAGTACTCTGTGGTTGCGGTAATTTAATTTTTAAAAAAATCTACGCACAAAAAATGTAATATAAACGTTGGTACTATGGTTTAGCTGTGCACACCTTTTCGTGTGTGAATTTCAAACTAAACTTACTTTAATCCTTATAAGACATATAGAAATAGATTTCACTAAAAATAAAACACACTTATATGGATATACTACTTCTGAATTTATTAACATGCTACGTTTCGATACACATACAGATATCGTTTTCATTATTTGCTTGAAAACGATATCTGTATGTGTATCGAAACGTAGCATGTTAATAAATTCAGAAGTAGTATATCCATATAAGTGTGTTTTATTTTTAAACTTACTTTGAAACAATTTCTTCAATAAAAATTTTTTTTTTCTTTATTGTCATGGATATTGTGTATTGGTAGGATTTTATACAGCATCACAATAGTCTAAAAACATGTATTTATACAAGAACTGAATACATTGAACTGCCTGGCTAAAGTTACCTCAGTCATTAAGCAAAATAAACATATTCCTAGGGCATCAATCACCACCTGTATTGTTAATTGACAAATAGTTCTCCATGACATGTTTCACCGAACTCTGGGTAATCCACTAGAAACATCAAAGCTGGTTTATTAATCAAATGTCTGACGTCATAGGGTGAAAAGCCGCTCGAATGACCTCTGAAGCCACCTCCCACTACAACTGGTCAGATCTTCAAGTAGTAGAGGCCATTGAAAGTAAAAAAACCCAAAAAAAACAAAATATAGATCTGTATTTTAATCAGATTGTGTTTCGGGTGCATGTACAATAGAAAATAATTCTTGTGTATTATATAATAGATGAATAATCTCTACATTAGATTGTATCAGGTAGATACATTAACACCTGTCTTTGTCAGGTAGCTACATTAACACCTGTCCTTGTCAAACATTTACAGACAATAGTTTTTGTGTATTACAATACCCATTAAACATACATTATACAAGAGCTAAATCTGTCAATTGCAGGTCTTTCTTTAGGCATGAAATGTTTTCTAAATTAATAATTAGACATTTATTAACTTATCCAGACCATAATCAACTCTTGATGTCATCTCTAGCCTAAAATCATTAGTGGATTATGATCCGATTTGCTGCACAATATAATGATTTAGTCATGAAATGGATAATCGAGACTATGCTTTTAATTGTACCGACTTTAGTATTGATGATCGAGGCTAGGCGGAAATTTCAATTGCTTAATTCTCGGTTCATAGTGGATCAATTTGACTGAAATTTTCAGCAAATTCCCTTTACATTATCTAGTTTTTAACTGCCAACTCTTTATCTAATCTCCCATAATGTATCTTTAATAATCTCTAATTATAAAAATAATCTAATAATAAACTTATTGTGAATATTGATGGTGCTACAAACTTTAATTTTATTCACTAATAATTTTGTTTTGTTTTTTTGTTTTTTTTAATTTTCTGTACAAAAAAATAATAATTCATATTAAAACTCACAACAAGAGAGAGAGAGAGAGAGAGAGTGAGAGAGATGGACTTTAGAGTACACTCAACACAAACCAGGTCATTTCGGGTCTAACATATGGTCCAATTTTATTCCAATAATTCACTTGTGCATAGGGCTCTTTAAATTCAATTTAAATATTTGATCATGTGAATATTGATAATGTACACGAAATGTAAAATAATAAGGAAACAATATGAAAACAAAAGTTAGTTATTACAAAAGAAATAATCTAACCCTGACTATTATCAGGTAGCTAGCTTTAGATATCACCATTAGTGGGCAAACTGCATGCAGCGATCCATCTACGTCATACTTCGAGATTATGATCACTGCCCTATTTAGCCTCCGTTTAAAATGCTCACGTGATCATTTTGGGGCGGGACTTATCGACTGGATTACTGCGTTGTGTACACAACACATGTCCTTTCCAAAATGTCAACTTAGCTGCCACTCCGGTAAAAGCGAAATATAATATGTGCTAGTGGGTAATATTGCAATACATTCTTTGCCATTGTAAACTGTTTTTAGAGTTTCAATCTGTTTATCTTTCAAAATAAGGTCAGATACTCCTAAATTTGTCTTTGCAAAAAAAAAAACGCCTCTGTGAAATTATCTTTCATGGGAGCCGCCATATTGAATAATTAGAGGACTATTTTGTGATTCGGCTCTGCTTAGTTTGACATCTTTCATACACTCAACGGCTAAATAAACATATTTAATTTCATTCAATATGACAATAGAAGAGAAATAAATACTTATAAAAATTTCTAAAAGCATACTCAGTGTTTTCGACTAAAATCATCGATGTAGGAATTAAAATGTCATTTAATTAGCTTAGGGCCTGTTCTCAGGCGGAGCTAGCTGTAGACAGGCAGCCTAAGTTTGGGATGCATTAGCGGGGTCGAAATACAATACTAACCCTCCATGAAGTTACCCATCTTTACCCCTTGAGGAACGTCTTAATAAAACAACGTTCTAAGATGTAAATTGGGACAGTTGTCGTGTCCATCATCTTGGATTTCACTGTAGCCTAATTGATGTCCATCATCTTGGATTTCACAATCTCATGTCTTTTTCAACTAGCAGTTAGTTGTCAGCGGTTGCCTAACCCCTAAAACCTAGGTATAGACACCAAACTTGTTCCCCTATCATTGTGGTCATTAAAACGTAATGGTGGCCATGTTGGACGCCAATTTGAATTTTACGTCACAGTGACACCATCACGTAAAAATGATGGGAATTTTGAAATCTATGGTATCCATTTCCCATAGAAAGACTTAGACACCATAACTACTGGATTTAGAGGTTAACATTCACACGTTATTGAGGAATAAGTGCTCTCGTATGTGATTGGAGAAGGTCGAAATTCAAAATGGCGCCAGTTAGTGTAGTGTTAACCTGTAATCGTTGGGTTTGATTGTATAGCCTTCATAAGTAGTATGTAAAATTCTAAAAGATCATAGACAATTAATTGTTGGGACGTTAATTGTGAATGGTTGGATGTTTAGCTTGTGTTGGGATAACCTCTTTTAGACAAGTTTGACCATCTATGTCATTTGTAGGGTTTGTTAGTATAGCCTTCGGATGTCTAGCTTGTGTCATGGAAACTAACAACCTTTCAAGCTGCAGTTCAGTTGATATTTCTGGGTCAAAGCTGGCCCTTGACGGAGCAAGTATCCTGACATTGTTTTCTCTAGTATGAAGTCTCATGTGTGAATGTAGACTGCTACCAACAGTGAATGTTCTATGACAAACATCACATCTATATGGTTTTTCACCAGTATGAATTCTCATGTGTCTCTGTAGATAATTATTTTGTGTGAATGATTTATCACAAACATCACATCTATATGGTGTTTCACCAGTATGAATTCTCATGTGTATGTGTAGATAACTATTCTGTGTAAATGATTTATCACAAACATCACATCTATAAGGTTTTTCATCAGTATGAATTCTCATGTGTGCATGTAGATTACTATTCTGGGTGAATGATTTACTACAAACATTACATTTATAAGGTTTTTCACCAGTGTGAATTCTTATATGCAATTGTAGTGTACAACTATTGGTGAATGATTTACTACAAACATCACATTTATATGGCTTTTCACCTGTATGATTTCTCATGTGTCGCTGTAGACTACCATTCTCAGTGAATGATTTACTACAAACATCACATTTATATGGCCTTTTTCCCGTATGAATTCTCATGTGTTTCGGTAGACTAGTACTAAAAGTGAATGATTTATAACAAACATCACATTTATAAGGTTTTTCACCTGTATGAATTCTCATGTGTTGCTGTCGATTGCCACTAAAGTTGAATGATTTAAAACAAACATCACATTTATAAGGTTTGTCTACGGTATGAGTTCGTATGTGTTTTTGGAGAGCACTACTAATAGTAAATGATTTACTACAAACATCACATTTATAACGTTTTTCTTCAGTATGACTTCTCATGTGTCTCTGTAGATTACTGTTCCAAGTGAATGATTTACTACAAACATCACATTTATATGTTTTTTTTACTGTATGAGTTCTAATGTGTGACTGTAGGGCACTACTCTGGGTACATGATTTACCACAAACATCACATTTATAGGGTTTTTCACCAGTATGAATTCTGATATGTCTCTGTAGACTGCTATTCTGAGTAAATGATTTACAACAAACATCACATTTATAAGGTTTTACACCTGTATGGATTCTCAAGTGTTCCTTCAGCTGACATTTCACTGCAAATGATTTACAACAAACATCACATTTATAAGTTTTTTCTACTGTTTGAGTTTTTGAGTGTTTCTGACTAAAAGATTGACTACAAACATCACCATTATAATCTCTTTCTCCAGTTTGCCCTTGTTGACTAACATGTAATTCACAGTGTTTTTCTAAATCTGTTTCTAAATTAAATTCTTCATCACATAAATTACACTGATAAACAGTTTCAACATCACCATTTTTCTCTTCTTTAACATGACAATATTCATCTACATCATCAGTTTTCTCTTCTTTATCATGCCAATATCCAACTATATCATCAGTTTTCTCTTCGTTAACATGACAATATTCATCTCCATCATCAATTTTCTCTTCTTTAAATTGAACATGATAATATCCACCTACATCATCAGTTTTCTCTTCTTTAATGTGTATTTCATTGTGCTTTTCTAAATCATCATATTGTTGAAAAATCTCATCACATTCAACACACTGATAAAATGCTTTAACATCATTGGTTTCCTGTAATATATAAAAGTTATAACATCATTAGGATCCTGTAATATATAAAAGTAAAAACATCATTAGTTTCCTGTAATATATAAAAGTTATAACATCATTAGTTTCCTGTAATTTATAAAAGTTATAACATCATTGGTTTCCTGTAATATATAAAAGTTATAACATCATTAGTTTCCTGTAATATATAAAAGTTATAAAATTATTAGTTTCCTGTAATATATAAAAGTTATAAAATTATTAGTTTCCTGTAATGTATAAAAGTTTTAAACTTGGTACTAGCGATTCTGAAGGGGAAATACGGCTCATGACGTCATTCAAATATGACTGAAAAGCACTTATTTATGCCATGGCAGGCATTGACTGTTCATTTTGATTACTTTATTGGTGATCTCAGATTTTAAAATCTGATAATATTGGATCTAATTAGAATATTTTGATGAAATAATGTTTGTTGGGTAGTATTTTTTGTATATTCTGACCTGAAACCTAGTGTAGTATTTTATGTATATTCTGACCTGAAACCTCTAGTAACAGCTATCTAGTGTAGTATTTTGTGTATATTCTGACCTGAAACCTGTAGTAACATCTATCTTGGGTAGTATTTTGTATATTCTGACCTGAAACCTGTAGTAACATCTCTCTAGGGTAGTATTTTGTGTATATTCTGACCTGAAACCTGTAGTAACATCTCTCTAGGGTAGTATTTTGTGTATATTCTGAGCTGAAACCTCTAGTAACATCTCTCTAGTGTAGTATTTTGTGTATATTCTGACCTGAAACCTGTAGTAACATGTATCTTGGGTAGTATTTTATGTATATTCTGACCTGAAACCTGTAGTAACACCTATCTTGGGTAGTATTTTATGTATATTCTGACCTGAAACCTCTAGTAACATCTATCTTGGGTAGTATTTTGTATATTCTGACCTGAAACCTCTAGTAACATCTATCTTGGGTTATGTATATTCTGACTTGAAAATCAGTTTACATCTCTTGGCATTAATTTCAGTATAAATTTAGACGAAATTATAGATCTCAACTTTAATGTGAAATTGGATGATCTTGAGAAATTAACACATATCTGGAGTAAACGTAAACTGACTCTAATTGGAAGAGTCACCATTCTTAAGAGTCTAATCTTACCTAAAATCAATCACTTGTTCTCGGCACTACCCAACCCAGAATGTTCTGACCTCAAAAGGCTTGAACAAATATGTTTCAGATTTATATGGAACCATGGGAATGACCGAATTAAACGCTCAAGAGTCATAAAATCAATTGAAAATGGTGGTCTAAATTTTACTGATATCAATGCATTTAATAAGAGTATGAAAATATCTTGGATCAGAAGATTACATGTTCAAAACAGTAATTGGAGTCCATTTGTGGACCATTATTTGAAAATACTCCCCTTTGAAATCTCAGCAGTAGGTTCTGATTTAAATTCCAAAATACTTGGGGTGATAGAAAACCCATTCTGGAGGGACACCTATACAGCATGGGTTGAGTTTGTTGGGAATGTACTTGAAAAGGATAACAAAGATACGAACATGGAAAATATTTTATTACAACCCATCTGGTACAATAAAATATTCAGATTTAGGTTTATTAAGGACTGGTTCCAAAAGGGAGTCAGAACTATTAATGACCTCATAAATGATAGAGGTAAGCTCAAAACATTTGACAATATGAAAAGTGAATTTGGACTGAAAGGCACATTTCTTCACTATAACGGATTGATAACATCTCTCCCTAAAAGGTGGAAAAATGTGATATCAGACAATGTACATTCTCATTTACAAAAACCATACATACCAAGACCCATCCAGATCGTACTAAGCGAAGCTAAAGGCTGTAAACATATATATAAGTTCTTAATCAAAAATGAATCAAAGGAAAAAGAATGCAAAAATGAAATAAAATGGATGAATATACTTAACCTAAATTTGTCTCCAGAACAGTGGAGAAAAATATATGCTATACCGAAAAAAGTGACATTGGACACAAAGTTAATAGAGTTTCAATTCAAATTTCTACACAGAATTGTTACCACAAAAAAAATATCTTTACACTATCAAAGTAAGCAATGAGAAACAGTGCTCAATCTGTGGGGAAAAAGATGAAACTCTTGAACATTTGTACTACGAATGCCCTGAAACTCAAAATATTTGGACGAATATGTCTAATGTTCTTGAAAAATACGGAATGTGCGATACTCATTTCACATGTAATGATATAATGCTTGGAAAACAGGAGACATCCCCTGTTGTCAATTTTATTATCATATGTAGTAAATACTACATTTTCAGAAGTAGTATAACAGGTAACTCCCTTAATTTCCAAGCCTTATTGAAATTTATTCATTTTTATTACAGAATTGAAAAGTACATATATAAGAAAAATGGAAACATGCATATCTTTAATAGAAAATGGAACATGATTGCTAAGCTGTTTGATGACATGTAAATAATAGAGTATGCAAAGAATAGAATAGTGCTAAGCTGTCTGAGATTATGTAAAGAATAGAATATTGTGAGATTTGCATATTGCAGTTTGATGATATATTGATATAATGTACTTTTGTATGGAATAACAATAAAAAAAAAAAAGATAAAAAAAAAAAAAAAAAATGTATATTCTGACCTGAAACCTATAGTAACAGCTATCTTGGGGGTAGTATTTTGTGTATTCTGAGCTGAAACCTCTAGTAACATCTATCTTGGGTTATGTATATTCTGACCTGAAACCTATAGTAACATCTATCTTGGATAGTATTTTATGTATATTCTGACCTGAAACCTATAGTAACATCTATCTTGGGTAAGTATTTTATGTATATTCTGACCTGAAACCTGTAGTAACATCTCTCTAGGGTAGTATTTTGTGTATATTCTGAGCTGAAACCTCTAGTAACATCTATAATGTTGTATTACTCACCATTATGTCTGTTGGTCTAAAAACACTACACAGAATTGCTGATCGGTCTCTTCTACAAGTCATAGAAAATAGGTATTCATATAATAAACAAGTCATCGGTGGAGCGGCAATACTATATACCAGAAAACACAGGAAAACACCGGAAAAAAACCTGGAAAACCCCGGAAAACACCATTTTATATTGAATACCGGAAAACACCGGAAAACACTAAATACCGGAAAACACGCTAAATACCGGAAAATACCCTAAAAAGGTAACCCGGAGACTGGCACCCTAAATACGTAACCGGGAGCCTGGTCCTCTGTGTGCCTGGGTTAGGGTTAGGGTTAGGGTTAGTTTCCGGTTTATAGTATAGCCCTTCTCCGGGTAACCTATTTAGGGTGGTTTCCGTTATTTAGTGTGTTTTCCGGTATTTAGTGTTTTTCCTGTGTTTTCCGGTATTCAGTATAACATGGTGTTTTCTGGTAGTTTTCCGGTTGTTTTCCGGTGTTTCTTGGTGTTTTCCGGTATATAGTATAGCCCGTCGGTGGAGTATAAAGTAACGCCAGCTTCCATAAAATAGGCTGGTCAAACGACAGCTGGATTGTGTCATACGTGAAACAAAAGGTTTTTTGATTTATATTGACTCATTATGATGTCCAGATTATGGAAAAGAAAGTTTACCCAAATCGGAGTCCAAATAAGGACAGGGGGTGGTGCCAAATACAAAATGGCGAGTGTTGATCAGAAATCGCAAATATCTCTAAAATTGTCGGATATAGACACCATAAATGTATTGCAGAAAGACAAGAAGACGGTACCAGTGAGTCCAAAAATGGCGATGTTATATCTGTATTACGTCATGACGTTACTGTAACGTCACAACGGCATACCTGACGTCTCACTTTTTTCAAAATTGGTCCATTTACTCATGGTAACCGTAGAAACGAATGGTGATGCAGAGAAGAGTATATGGAAATTGTGTTGGATTGATTGAGAAGAACAATGTTCTCCATTTACCTAGAAGGGGGCTAAAGGTATAACTACTGCTTCTGTGTCAATAGCTGATACTATTAGAATAGCTGCAGGAACACTTCAATTTTTGAAGAAATGAAATGAAATCGGGCCAAACATCCTATGTACTATGAGGGAAATTTTGCCCTGCAGTGGCACAACAGTCTCATCTTATATCGAATTCTAACTGCCAAAGGTTCTTTTATTGGAGAAGTGCATTAAAGGTTGAATGGACGTGGCCGACCAATTTTGACATTTGGCCCAAAAAATCATCAGAAAGTTGTATTTTGGGGTTTCAGATCATATGTGGACAGATAGGAAGTCAATACCAGACGGTCCTGTCCATTCAACATTTACAAGCACAAAATGGCTGTCAAACATGCACTCGCTGAGCTCCTTAATGTTGCTTGTTTTTATCTTTTGGGCCACTGCATCATCGATTTCATTGGACTTCATAGTTCATCCTCAAAATTAATTCTACCATCTTTATACTAGTTATTTTAGGCCACGTTTTGAAGCAGTTCTAATATTTGTCCCCATACATTTTCTGGTTATTAAGTTGGGTGTAAATTATCTCAGACGTCTGTTTGAAGTTTGGTTTCTATACGAATACACTTCGCTGAATCCGATGGGCTCAGGTATCCCCCCACCCCCAAAAGTGACGGCGAATTCGCTAGGAAGTCAAATGCAAAATGGGGCCCATTTTTGAGAGAAAATCACAAAGTCTCCTATATAGTTTTTCGTGGTCCCCTAATTCAGGTATTAACATAAAATATGTTTTCCGCCCAAAGGTAAGTGTACTATTTTCTTCCATGATCTCCTGAACATAGATATTTTGTCGAATTTGAGAACCATTTTGGTGTTTTGTTTGTCATGGCACATTTTGTAGTTCAGATATTAATTTGCCCACCTTGAAAACCTACTATTTGACATATTATACCATCACATCGCTAACATCGAAATTTAACACCAAATGTTTTAAATATTTTAAATAAAACCATCAAATTGGAATACTAATTTTTATTAGCATCATCCAGATTCTCAATCTATACATCTTAAAGATATATAATCCATCAAAAAACATTAGGGGAACTTTATTTCAGAGCCCGCAATAGTGACATCAAGGCCCTGGGACAAGGACCTTGGTGAAACATTTTTAAAGATACATAGTCTCTAGCGTCACTTGGTGTATATCTTGGGTAACTGAAGGTAACTTTGCTAAAGCGCATTGTTCTGAAAAATGTCCACAATTGGCAAAAATATTGAAAAACATCAAGATTTTTAGCACCTAATGAAACGAAGACAAAAGTAAAAGTTTCGCTTTCAGTTTTGTTTTTAATGATCGGATACCAGTCAGCCTACCTAGGATTCTTCAGGCCCAGACATGGCAATGGATACCTTGATGAAGACAATAGCTTTAAACAGAACTAGAATGGATCGGGGCTCGACGGGGCTAAGGCCTGGGCAGGTAGTCTTTAATTTACCAATTTTTCTAAAAAAAAAAAAGTGAACTGACAGAATCATATTCTAATCTTACCCATGCCACTAAGTACGCACATTCAGAAATGTTACAGGTATTCTTGTATTTTACGATCAAGTAACAGTGTATTTTTTTTATTACTTTATACCAACAAATGTTTTTAAAACATTACTTGGAATATCTCCGGGACCCTCTAGGCTTCGGGCCCTGGACAAGTGTCCCAGTTGTCCCCCCCCCATCTCTCACGGGCCCTGCTTTATTTTCATCGCAAGGCTTAACCTTTGGTTTGACTACCGGACTAGTACCATTACCCTTACTCAACAGGAAAAAAACATCCCAACAGACTTTCAGCTAGAGCCAGTGACAAAATATAAAAAATCGGGTAGACTAATTTTCACCTTTTTGAACTCTCTGGTATTGACTTCTTGTCTGTCCCCATGATTGGGACTCCCAAAACAAACTCTTAAGTACTGTCAAAATTGGTTTTGTAACACATCTCGAATACACCTGTGTCAAAATATAAATTCTTCTGATGTTTTTTGGAATTAACCTACTTCTGAATGGGCCAATGTCAAAATAGGTCGGCCCCGCCCAATCAAACTTTAGTGCACTTCTCCAGTCAAAGAACCCTTGGCAGTTGGAATTCAATACAGGAGTAGACTGTTGCACCATTGCAGGGCAAAATTCCCCTCATAGCACACTGATTGAACCCAGTCAGAGTGAACAGTCAGACGTATAATTATAATCCCATTTCATTTCTTTTTATAGACGTAGGCTATTTTTGTCAACAACTGAAAAGAATCAGTGTTCCTACAGCTACTGTAGACATCACAGTAACGTCATGACGCCATAGAGACATAACGGTGCCATTTTTGGACTAGCTGGTACCGACTTCCTATCTGTCTACAATACATTTATGGTGCCTAAATCCAACAGTTTTCGAGACATTCGCGATTTTGATCGACAGGCGCCATCTTGGATTTGGCCCCGCCCCCCTGTCCTCCGATTTTTTAAAACTTTCTTTTCCTTACTTAGGGCATCATAAAGAGTCCATAAAAATCAAAAAACCTTTTGTTGCAATTTGTCCTACATCAAATGTTAGTTTGGCCAGCCTAGAATATTACGTCATGGAAAAAGAATTTCTTTCCGGTAGTAGGTTGTATACACGATATAGTCCCGGATCTCTCCAACCCGAATAGTTCACAAAACTACTGGTACCGACTTCCTATCTGTCCGCAATACATTTATGGTGTCTAAATCCAACAGTTTTCGATACATTCGCGATTTTGATCGACAGCCGCCATCTTGGATTTGGCCCCGCCCCCCTGTCCTCCGATTTTTCAAAACCTTCTTTTCCTTACTTAGGGCATCATAAAGAGTCCATAAAAATCAAAAAACCTTTTGTTGCAATTTGTCCTACGTCAAATGTTAGTTTGGCCAGCCTAGAATTTCTCCGGTAGTAGGTTGTATACACGATATAGTCCCGGATCTCTCCAACCCGAATAGTTCACAAAACTACTATTTCATTTGAAATTCACTTTGTTCGTTAAAAAGTTCTGATTTCATCATCTTTCGCTCTATCATCATCTTTCGCTCTCTTTCCGACGTAAGTTCCACAAACCACCCCACTCAACGATTCATTCCATCAACAAAGCTAGTACCTCATCCATAAATCCAGGTTTCTCAAAATAATTTTCATCGCAAGGCTTAACCTGGGGTTTGACTACCAGACTAGTACCATTCCCTTGCTCAACAGGAAAAAAACATCCCAATCGACAAAAGTGAGAGAGAGAGAGAGTGAGAGAAAGAGAGAGAGAGAGAGGGGGGAGAGAGAAAGGGGAGAGAGAGGGAGGGAGGGAGAGAGAGAGAGAGTCACAAACGGGAATCGAAACAACTCCAGTTGACTCGATGACATACCTTTTGATACAATGCGCACACGCTAACCATTCGGCCATCCAACCCCCTAGTGCAGGACGAACAGTCTGACAATGTATAAAAACCATCTAGTTGGCTGGATGGGACAAAAAACACTGGCCCTGTGTACTCGTTTACAGAAATCTACAATAATTATTGGCAGTTGGAATTCAACAAAGAGTAGACAGAAACGTGACTGTCTGGACAAAATGACCGAGAACTACGAAGAGCCTGGCACTGCACAACGTCTAGTCGTTCGAATGGGATAAAAAAAAGTGAGGCCCCATGTACTCCTTGTCAGGCATGTAAAAGTGAGGCCCCATGTACTCCTTGTCAGGCATGTAAAAGAACCTTGGACAGTTGGAATTCGGTAGAAAGTAAGGCCACTTTCTGGGCAAAATGTTCCCTAAAGCGCAATCCCTTTTCCCTTGCTCCCTCCCCATCACCGTGTAATACGTAGACTTGACCTTCCTATTACACCCCGTCCCCAGTGCGTAAACATACTTCTTATTTTAACAAATAATAACAAGTTATATTCTTATTTTTACCATTCATTGATTTATTTTATCCCTCAGAAGTTACTCAAAACACCTAAAACAATCAAATAACATTATATATATACCAGTTAGAAATAAAACATTCCAGGAAAATAAATAAATGCTAAAGATGCATGCATATAACTTCACAGAGGTCACAGAACTCGCAAGATGATATGGCGCCTCAGGGAACATTCGTGAGCGACCCAATCCTCTCTAACATTACACTAAAGCTGACCTTTTTTGTATCTCCATACAGGTCACTGAACATAACAGATCGTACTCTGTAGCGAAAATTCGAAACGTGTTTAAACTCTATCTAGACTACATTTAAATGTGGTCATACATAACTTTCTAACCGTCTATCTAAAATCAAGTTTTATAAATATCATTTACATCATATTACAGAACACAATTTTTATGGGAAACAATCACTGGTTTTATTCTAATAGCACGTCGTTTCGACAAGTATCCTTTTATCGTTATCAATCTCATTGTGCTTGATAACGATAAGAGTATACTTGTCGAAACGTCGTGCTAATTGGGTTTAACGTCCACTCGACACAAACTAGGTCATTTCGGGACTAACATATGGTTTAATTTTATTTTAATAATTCGCTTGCACGTAGGGGTCTTTAGCAGTGGTAGGAAACCGGAGGACCCGGAGAAAACCCACGAGGTTGGACAGGCGACCCTACTCCGAACGAAAAGCCTGACAAGAACAGCTGTCTAGTCGTTTGGATGGGATGAAAAACCAAGTTCCGTGTACACATTGGCGTGCACTAAGAGCAAGCCATAGTGCCACTGCCCGGGCAAAATATCCCTTATAGCACACTGCATGGCGTATGCCCGTCTTCATTAGCCCAGTCGGAGCAGAACAGTAGGACATTAAACTCCATTTCATTTCAATATGAGAACCAGATTTGTTTTAATTTGAGACGATTTATTTTCGATGTTGTTTAAAATTACAATACATTTATTAAAGGAGAAAGGAAATTATATGACATGTAAAGTTGTTTGATAAATAAATTTTAAAAATAAATTTGGTTTTGTTAAAAAAAAGTTACTGTAGGTCCTATTGAAAAATTTTTCTTTCAGTACATGTATTTGGTTTTGATACCATAAATTAACCCTCAAATACACTAATACGTAAACTTTTGATAATAACACAGCCATATATTACATGTAAGTAGGCCTATAGCCTATATTAAAATTGGGAGAATCCGGTCCTTAGAAAAAAATACAGTAGGCCTATATCATATTTTCAATGTCATTTTCAACGTGTTAACCATTCGGCCATCCAACCCCCAAGTTAGAGTAGTTTTAACCTGCTTTGATTATCTGTGTACAGCATTAATTAGCAGGACTGTTTTCGGGTGGTTGGAGTCTAGTGATAATCTCTTTTAACCCTGTTTGATCATCTTTGTTAATCGTAGTGTTTGTTGGTATGTATAGGGTGCCCCACCATAAATAAATATCTCCAAATATCTCGACAATTACACCACAATATCTATATATACACCAAGCCTTAAATCAGTTTCAAACATTTTAGTCACTAAATAAACGGTTATGCTGTACTTAATAAGCTACATGTATGACCATTTAATCATCCATAAATAATACACTGAAAGATGGTTCGGTTCAGAGTGTTCGGCAATAAAATCCGAGCATGTGTGAGTAAAAAATAGGTTACGTGCTGTGCCCTTATTTTGAAAGTAGTCTCGCTTAACCAGTCTACCGACCATTCTACGTTTGATTAACAGGCCGGGATTATCAAGACTACTTTTTTACGAAACATAACAGAAAGCTGGAACAATCAATTGAATTTAGAAGCATGCACGTTGGGCAACTCAACAACTGTTTTAAGAATCTTGTAAAAGTAAAATGAAACTACTGCTAGTATCATGTTCTTGCCCAACGCAAGTATTTCAGAGATAGTATTTGTACTAAACCAAAAGATACAGCTCCTAATGGTATAGTTAATGATAAAGCAATTTCAAAAATAAAATGAACGTAATTTCTAAAGCTGCAGTAATAACCAATAAGCTAAAATTACTGCTATTCAGAATCGTCAACAATAGATTTTTACGGCTGTAACAGTTAATAGATGTATAGAGAATTTCATGTGCGATGGCTATTTATAGTATCACAGACGCTTGCGCTAAGTGTTATCATAGTGCGTCTATGCGAGAAATCACTTCAAGATAAGTCACTGAAGCGTGTACCAACTTTCTGTACTGTGCGTGTATAGCCTTCGGATGTCTAACTTTGTGTCGTTGAAATTAGGTTCTTACAATAAACTTTCAATCTGCAGTTCAGTTGATATTATGAGTTTTCATGTGTCTCTGTAGAGTTCCAACCTGTGTGAATGTTTTACTACAAACATCACATTTATAAGGTGTTTTTCCTGTATGAATTCTCATGTGTGAATGTAGAGTACTACTATGAGTAAATGATTTACTACAAACATCACATTTATAAGGTTTTTTGCCAGTATGAATTCTCATGTGTTTCTGTAGAGTTCCAGCCTGTGTAAATGATTTACCACAAACATCACATTGATTTGGTTTCTCTTGTTTATGAATTCTTTTGTGTATGTGTAAATAACTACTTGAAGCGAATGATTTACTACAAACATCACATTTATAGAGTTTTTCGCCAGCATGCGATCTCTTGTGTTGCCGTAGATTACTACTAGTGGTGAATGATTTACTACAAACATCACATTTATATGGTTTTAAACCAGTATGAAGTCTCATGTGTTTCTTTTGGCCACTTCTCTGGGTGAATGATTTATCACAAACATCACATTTATATGGCTTTTCACCAGTATGAATTCTTTTATGGGCCCGTAGGGTACTACTATAGCTGAATGATTTACTACAAACATCACAATTATAAGGTTTTTCACCGGTATGACATCTCCTGTGTGCCTGTAGAGCACTAATAATAGTAAATGTTTTACCACAAATGTCACAATGATATGGTTTGTCACCAGTATGATTTTTTACGTGTGTTTGAAGACTATATTTATGTAGAAATGATTTACCACAAACATCACATTTATAAGGTTTGTCCCTGGTATGAGTTCTCATGTGTGGCTGTAGGGCACTGCTGACAGTTAATGATCCATGACAAACTTCACCAGCATGATTTCTTATGTGTGACTGTAGTTTGCTACGCTGTGTAAATGATTTACTACAAACATCACATCTATAAGGTTTTTCACCTGTATGAATTCTCATGTGTCTCTGTAGATTACCACTAGTGGTGAATAATTTACTACAAATATCACATTTAAATTTTCTTTCACCTGTATGAATTCTCATGTGTTCCTGTACATTGCATCTATAGGTGAATGATCTATCACAAACATCACATTTATAAGGTGTTTTTCCTGTATGAATTCTCATGTGTGAATGTAGAGTACTACTATGACTAAATGATTTACTACAAACATCACATTTATAAAGTTTTTCACCGGTATGAATTATCCTGTGGCTCTTTAGATATTCACTGTAAACAAATGATTTACTACAAACATCACATTTATAAGGTTTTTTTCCAGAATGAATTCTCGTGTGCTTCTTTAGATATTCACTTTTACCAAATGATTTAAAACAAACATCACATCTATGTGGTTTTTCTCCACTGTGAATTCTGAAGTGTTCCTTCAGCCGACCTTTTACTGCGAATAATTTACAACAAACATCACATTTATACGTTTTTTCTCGTGTACAAGTTTTTGAGCGTCTCTGTAGACTAACATTCTGACTAAAAGATTTACCACAAACATCACCAATTTGCCCTTTCTGACTAACATGTATTCCACAGTGTTTTTCTAAATCAGTTTCTAATTTAAATTCTTCATCACACAAATTACACTGATAAATGGTTCCAATATCATCAGTTTTCGCTTCTTTACCATGACAATATTCATCTATATCATCATTTTTCGCTTCTTTACCATGACAACATTCATCTACATCATCAGTTTTCTCTTCTTTACCATGACAATATTCATCTATATCATCAGTTTTTGCTTCTTTACCATGACAATTTTCATCTACAACATCAGCAGTTTTCTCTTCTTTACCATGACAATATTCATCTACAACATCAGTTTTCTCTTCTTTAACATGACAATATCCATTTACATCATCAGTTTTCTCTTCTTTATCATGCCAATATCCAACTATAACATCAGTTTTTGCTTGTTTAACATGACAATATCCATCTACATCATGTATTTTAGTGTGCTTTTCTAAATCATTACATTGTTGAAAAATCTCATCACATACAACACACTGATGGAAAGTGTTAACAACATTAATTTCCTGTAATATATAAAAGTTATAACATAATTAGTTTCCTGTAATATATAAAAGTTATAACACCATTAGTTTCCTGTAATATATAAAAGTCATAACATCATTAGCTTCCTGTAATATATAAAAGTTTTAGCATTTTGTTTTAAACATGCATTATGCAAGAGCAAAATCTGCTTATTACAAGTCTTTCTTTAGGCCTGAAATGTTATCTAAATTATCAATTAGACATTAATTAACTTATCCAGACCATAATAAACTCTCGATGTCAAGGCTAGCCTTCGATGTTGGCTGGATTAGATTCCTATATGCCGCTAACGGCCGTTGATAATTAAATCAGAAAAAGTGGATAATCGAGACTATGCTGTTTATATTAATGATTTTAGTAATGATGACCGAGACTATGCAAAAATTTCAACCGCTTCTTTCTCGGCTCATAGTGGATCAATTTGATTGAAATTTTCAGCAAATTACCTTTACACTATCTAGGTTTTAACTATTATAGCGAGAACTGTCATCTCTTTATCTTATCTCCCATAATGTATCTTTAAACTTGGTACTAGCAATTCTGAAGGGGGGGGATTTCTGAATGGTTAGTGTGCGTGCGCTTTATCATAAAAGTCTGTCATTGAGTCGACTGGCGTGGTTTCGAATCCCTGGTTGTACGTGACAATGAGTAGGGTCGCCTGTCCAACCTCGTGGGTTTTCTCCGGGTCCTCGGGTTTCCTCCCACTGCTAAAGACCTGTACGTGCAAGCGAATTATTGAAATAAAAATAAATCATATGTTAGTCCCAAAATGACCTAGTTTGTGTCGAATGGACGTTAAACCCCATTTCTCTCGCAATTCTAAAGGGGAAATGCTGCTTGTGACATCTCTCAAATATGACTGAAAAGCACTTATTTATGCCATGGCAGACATTGACAGTTCATTTTGAATACATTATTGGTGATCTCAGATTTTAAAATCCTATAACTTTGGATTTAATTAGAATATTTTGATGAAATAATATTTTCTGGGTAGTATTTTGTGTATATTCAGACCTGAAAACTAAAGTAATATCTATCCAGCATGGTTTGGACATTCAGATATGTATTAACGACTTATTTCTTATATTATGAAAAAATAAAATTATCTGGACAAGGCAGAACTTCGTTCGGCACTAAAATTAAACGTATTTTCTCATAGAAAGACCCCTATTTCAGAGGAAAAAAATTATACAGCCCAAATTTAAAAATTCCAATAAATAGTTAATGGTTGGATGGATGTTTCCTGATGCCTATATCTTCAATGGTTGCTGAGAAATTGTCTTCGGTCACTGTTTTTGCAAATTTAAAAAAAACGTGTATACTGACACCGTGATAAACTGTTTCAATGGCATTTAGTAATTGAACTAGAGTAATTGTATTCCATAGAATTGTGACCTGTATATACTGACACCGATCAATTTTGGGTCATAAAAGTGCAATAACATTCTTATTTCTTAATCGATTTTGAAATTTTGGGGGTTTCTTAAATGGGAGAGGGGTTGGAAAATATTCACTTTTAGTCGGATTAAAAATTTTTTAAAGAGTTTTTGCATTGCTACATCGGATGTCAGCTGTTTCGTAACCTGGCTGTTTTTGTACTTAGTTCATTCATACCTCGCATGAGTTGTTTCGTACATCACTTCGAACCTCAAATTGATTTGTACCTTTTACTATGTTGTTGAAAGCAGTTAAAAGAAATTGAAATAAAGGTGAAACGATTTGATCAAAGCCAACGGAAACGCTAAATTTATAAAAGTGGCTGTCGAGCCATAATTATAATTTGCACGAGATTAGTTTGTTTTCCTAAATGTGTTTGAAAGAAATTGAAATAAAGATGAAACATAATTAAACAATTTGATCAAATCCAAAGGTTGCGCTCAATTTATAAAAATGGCTGCCGAACCAGCATTAGCTACGATGATTTAATAACAAAAAGCGAATTTTATGCATTGATATGAAATATTTAAATCATATACCACAGCCTGTTAAAATATTAAAAAGAACAATTTTTTTATAAAAATGGCTGCCGAACGAGAATTAGCTACGATGATTTAATAACAAAAAGTGAATTGTATGTATTGAAAAAAAAAAGAAGAAATTTCCATACTGATATTACACAGCCTGCCCAATAGTAGTAATTCACACACAAAGGATATATTTAAACTAAAATTGCTTAAGCATTTCACTAAATTTTGATGCAGTTGGATTTCAATAACAGAATTACTCCATGATATAACGAATATACAGTTCATGATATAACAGATCAAAGAAACAACTCACTGAGCAGAATGAGTTCGATAATCAACATCAGATTAAAAAAAAAGGCAGGTATTCGTTTATTATTTCAATTTCTTTCAACAACATATAGATTTATTTTAATTTCTTTCAATTTATTTCAACAACATATAGAAAAAGGTACAAATCAATTTGAGGTACAAATCACGCGTGTATTCTAATTCTCGTTCTGCAGCCATTTTTATAAATTTAGCGCAGCCCTTTTTATTAAATATAGCGCAGACGTTGGATTTAGGAAAAGGAACTAATCATAGAGTGGTTCAATGACTCAAATTTTTGTCCTTATAAAAACTGACCGACTTACCTGTCTGTTTGCATCATTCGGGACATGTTCTGAAGTGAGCAGAATTTAGTCCCGCGCACGTGATTTTGGAGGTCGCAGCTAATATACGTCACAAATAGCTTTCCATGTGGAATTATACAAACATGTATTGGTGTATAAAGCCAAGTAAAAAAACACACATCACGCGCTTCGACTTTTGTGTTTATTTAATAGCGAACGTGAGCAAAATTTTCGATTGCACTGTTTGATTTAATTTTTGATTTTGGCAATTTCGGTACAGAGCTAGCTGTAATAGCTTCGTTTCATTTCTAACTTTTAAAACCATGAGCTGGGCAAGATAAACTGATTACAACATTTTGGGATTTACTTTTATTTAATGGTTACAACCTTCGTTTACGTGGCGCTCTATTTACTTTAGGAAATAAATATTTGCTAGCTCTAAATATGCAGAACTATTTTATTGGTAGTCTTTATTTTCCAGACACTTTTCGGTAACTTGGTGTAAATTATTTTTATAATCATAGTATCTTATTTAATTATTCTGTAGCCATAGACGGACTTAGTTTTTTTTTCTAGATCTGAGACTGAGCACTGCAAGATGACGTCCACCGATGATTTGCTATCCAGCATTGGATTGGACAAGTACCCCTATGATTTGAGCACTATAACCCAACTACCCATGGCAAAAATCACAAATAGGCTTATACTAGGCATTATTAATAAATTTCCGACAACTACGGAGCATCGGTCTATCATAACTGCTTTACATGACGACTGTATGACGTTTGGTGACAATTACATTCACAATAGACTGGTCAGACTGAAGACAAAGACTAGGAAGCTGGGTAAAAGTAAGGCTAAGTCCAATAAATGACAACCCATTTTTTCCCGGGATAGTGGACGAGACTCCATCGGCAGATACTAGTGAAATTAATTTAATTAATAGAGGGACTCAGACATCAGTCTAAACGTTTCGAATGGTAACGTAGCAGTGGTTATAACCGCATGTTTGGCTGTTGCGGGACTAAAATCTAATTACACTCCTTCAAAATCTTCAGTTCAAAGAATATCATGTGAGCACGTCGGTGTATCTTTAAAACATGTTTCGGAAACCTTAAAGTCGGCGAAAAATACCAGCCTTTATACTGACGAAACTACAAAATTTGGCTCTAAATTCGGCACATACGCAATAACCGCTGACTCGACACATACGCCACTTATTCTTGGTCTTCGTGAAATGGCTGATAAATCTGCGCAAACTACATTAACGACATTAACCGAAATTTTGGCTGATCTCGACGAAATTGCTGGACCATTTAGTAAATCCGTTATTTTCGAAATTAAAAATACCATGTCAGACAGAGTCAGCACCGAAAAGCTTTTTAATTCTTTATTTACACAATACAGAGGCAGTATTTGCGCTAAATTAGTAGAAAACTGGTCAGATTTATCAGATTCAGAGCGAAATATTCATATGAATATTAATCATTTCTTTTGTGGTCTTCACTGGTTTGGCGGATAAAAGCGTTCTGGAATTGAACAAATTTGAAGAATTGTATTTTTAAACGTTCTCAGCCCAAACGTTTAAAACAGCTACATCCTTTTCGCCAAACGAATCGGGGTGTGTTCGATTGGTTCGAACTATCTGTAAGGCCTTTACTCGGGGTGGAGACGAAAAGTCGGGTTGTTATTTTCCTTTCAAGTTATATTTAAATTCCTTAGGGATTTCAAAATTACCGCTAACCCCATTTCATGGTAACCAGTTTATTATCATTTTTCACAATGCCGCAATTTTAACTTATATGGCCAACCATATTAAAACTTTTCTCGGTGATTTTGGCGCAGAAAATCGATTGAGGTTCTTTTGGCGAAAAGGGATAAATTAAAAGAAAGGGGGCAACTTGAGATTAGGAAAAAAGAGCGCCTAACTGCAGAAATTGCCGGGATGGGACTTTGGATAAATAAAGAAGGAATGGATGATGGGCTTTCAAAGTTTTCGTCACTCGGGGAAACAAAAGAGGCATTAAAAGCACAGCCCCGATTTCGTAGATACGTCATGAATCAGCCAGTTTCGGATAAATCACTTTTTTATTTTTCTTCGGCGGGTAAGGAACGTTCTGTACCAGGTTTAAAAGCAAATTTAGAAAAAATTATTTGTACGGCTCGCCCTACTTAATCAGAAAAAGTTTACAATGCCCCTTTCTTAGCGTTTATAAAATGCAGTTTATTGATTTTTTTTCTATTTCTATGTCCATTTTATTCTTCATTCCAGATGTCCCAGCAGACAGACATTCTGACAAAGTAAATACCTTTTGATCAGTTAATACCCTCTATTTATACAGTTTCGGTTGTTTTCTAGTTCATTTTAACTGTGCATATTTATTAGTTTTTGTAAATATTTTTGTTCCAGGAAATATTTTGAACAATTTTTGTTAATTTAATTTTACATTTTATTGTTTGATAAAGAAGAGGATATTATCAACTGGCGTTTTCAACGATCATCTTTTTTATTCATTGGTTTGTAGTAAATTCTTTTGTTCCAGGAATTATATAAACAAAAATAATGTTTGTTAATTAAATTATCAACTTATGTATTACATTTAAATATAGATCGTGGTATTGGGTGACGATTAGGTAACAGATTTAGAAAGTTCAATTTAAATAGGTTGTGTGTACAGGCGATTACAATTAATAGATTAATTTAATATCAACTTAAATCATCTTTGGGAAACTTGTATTTCTGTAGTATAATAGCTGACATGATAACATTGATTGATATAAAAAATATCTGAACAGACAGATATATGGTTATACTGTATAAGTACATGTATATGATTTAATGATGTTGCAAAATACAACATTCGGTAGCAAATGCAGCTCTAACATACAGACATATTCATTCAGAGTGCGTGTTTTGGTAAATGATATTGAGCTCTTTGAATGCCAGTATAAATGAATGCGACATAGAACAGATAACATAAATATTTGTGTGTAAATGCTAGAATACCGCAAGGGAGATGTGGTCCTAATTTTGAATTTTTTGTTAATATAAATTATCTTTTATGTTGTATTTACCCATCCCCACTATACCAAATGCGAATTCAAATCTCCCTGAATCTCGATCGTTATTTTATTTGTAATACTTATATAATATCGTCCCCATACTTTATCCTACAATGTGTTCTTAACAAACACCATACGGCACTATATAGTTATTTATCTGTGGAACAAAAAATAAAGTGTTAAATTAATAGATTTATAGAGGTCTTTATCCCTCACTCTCCGTATTACATGTCATTATATTTTCCTCGTACTTTATCCGGCAAGTTATTTTTCATAACAAACATCATACTGCACAATATTTATTTATCGTTGGGACTAGCATTAAATTGTTACATTATTAGATTTATAGACGTCTCTCTCCCTCTCTCGTTTGCTCCTGCTATATAACATGCCATTATAAACAGACCCGGTGTCTGTGGGTATACAGAAATGAAATCACCGTTCTTTTTAATACATGTATTAGGCTAATCTTTAAGCAATTCACGTCAAACTTCGATCTTTTCATATCCAGCTAAACTTGTATTTTAATTTATAAACATTATAAACAGTTAATATTAAGACATTTGAAGGCGTGGGTATATTGTTAAAACAACTAAGCGTTTGCGCATACAGACACATGTCAAATTCAATCGTCTCATCGAGTGTATTCCGTTACTTCACAGCAAGGAAATAAACGATGTTTTCCGACTGCGATAATTGAATTTCGTTTCAGGGGAGTACGTTTCAGTTTTACAGGTACCAAGGGACTCTTATTCTCACCTTCTGCCTTCATTATGGAAGCCGGGTAGATTTTCAAACAATTATAATATTATTTATAAATGGTTATATCCTCAAAAATCAAATGTGGTCAGACTTCCATTGTTGATGAATGAAGTTTTTATTGTAAGTCTTATCATATAATGTAAGAATAATCCCGAAATAGTGTCTGTTTGTTGTTAAAAAAAAATAAGTATGAACCACTCTACATCAATTTGAGGTACAAATCTTGTGCATATTCTAATTCGCCATATATTCAATTTCTTTCAACTGATTTCAACAACATAGGAAAAGGTACGAATCAATTTGAGGTACGAAGTGAGGTACGAATGAACCAAGTACGAAGCAGCCTGCGCCCGCTACTCACCATTATTTTGTTAATGGCTTCTGTTGTCTATTTGTGATGCTGTTGTGTGACTGAATGACGATTATAAAAATCCGGCGGGGGATTGCTGATCTGTCTCTTCTACAACTTCAAGTCAAGAAAATAGATCTTCATTTAAACAAATCTTCAGTACAGAGTAACGTTAGCTTCCATAAAAGGTTATGTCACGGAAAAAGAATTCGTTTCCGGCATAAGGTTGTATACATGATATTGTTCCGGATCTCAATCGCTAATTGCACAGTTTATTGTCATTTTTGTCGTATTACTAAAATATTTTGAATGCTCTCGCCACTGAAGGTTCGAATGAGGGTACCCGGACCACGCGGACCAAAGACCACTCGGACCAAAAAAAAAGACCACTCGGACCAAAACGGAGACCACTCGGACCAACCCAAAAGACCACTCGGACCAATTCAATTTGTGTTGGAAGACCACTCGGAATAATATTTGTTGCCTCTCGGACCATTCAATTTAAAAAATAAAATTCAAAATTTAAGTTAAATAAATATTATTTATTAATTCAAAGACGCAAATAATTTATAGATGAATCTATACAAAATCTAGCAAATATTCATTTTTATTACATCAACAATTTATAAAATATATTTTTTTATTTTTAATATGCCCGTAACATATGGTACAGGTAAGTAGCATATTCATATTTATTACATCAACAATTTTTTAGTTTTTGATGTAATAAAGTTATTAAGTTTTTTTTGTTTTTTTGTATTTTTTGATGTCTCTGATCGGCGCGTTTATTCACTGGCCATAAACTGATCCACATTTTTTTTAACAACTGGCTCGTACTTATTCTTTCTGTTGACAATAAATATAATAAACGTTTAAAGTCATGTATAAAGGATTAATAAAAGCAATTATAATCATGTATATAATAAACAATTAAAGTCATGTATGAAGGATTAATAAAAGCAATTATAACTAGACCTGCAAGCAGCACTGAACCGGCTTTCAGGAACAGACAGGAAGTGTCATACAATAGCCCATTTATCGAGCTACCAAACGATGCTTTAGACGTTTTGATCCGGTCACACCCAACGGTGAAATCCCGATTGTTGCAAGAGTACCGATTTTTTTATTGTCTTCTTTTTAAAAAAAAATATCGAATATTTTTTCGACTACTTCCTATTTACGGATCATTATTTTTTTTTTCTCAATATATCGGATATTTTTTCGACTACTTCCGGTTTTTGGAAAATTGTCGGGATAGTTTTAACAAGTTGTTTGGTTACCTATCCTTCTGTACAAGAAGTTTCAGAAAAATCCATTTAGCTGTTTTCCAAAGAAAGAAAAATAGAAGAGCATTTTCAGTAATTTAAGGATTTTTCAACTTTTTTCCAAGATTGAGGCTCTTTTTGGACCACTTATATTATTTCAATGCTTTTATTTTTGGACTCACGCCATAGTCCACTGCTAGGACTCTAAGTAAAAGAAGTTTAAGAAAAATTGTAGTTTTCGGTTTCGAGAAAATGGCGTCTCAAAATGCTCCAAATACTAGATTTTCGGCGTACCATAAATTATTTTCTAGCCATCTAAATCGTATCATTCAGATGTCATATGATGGTCCATTCATGGGGCTATCTAGCGATACTTTAGTTCTTTTGGCCTGCTAACATCTGATGGAGAAATCAAGTTTTTCGCAAGAGCGCTATTTTTTTAAACCTTTTTTCTTCATTTTTTGCATACTTCCGGTATGGAGATTATTGTCGGGATAGTTTTAATAACCGGATTGGCTTATCAAATAGCCACAGGGCTATGTAATGATCTATTACATTGTCTGATCAGATAAAATGCCCCTGGGAAATCCTATGTTCAATAGTGCCAAAAATGCAAAAATGTCAGTATATCGAAAATTAAATTTAAATATACTATTCAAAAAAAGTAGGGGATATTTGATTTTGGGGGCATAATACTAAAATATGCAAATGACTACGAAAAAAGTCACTATAGAACCTAACAGAAGAAACATTTCCAGTTACATGTGACGCCCAAACGCACCAATAGCTACCGCATGGAATGCAGGTGATGCTTGGGATCATCATGGGGGTCCAACCCAAGATTTGCACGACTCTGACTTTGAATGTTACAGTCATTGTGGCATTGAATTCCAGGGTGGAAACATCAGTTTAATTGTTTTAGTGACCAGAAAACAAATTTTGATATGTGTCGGCTTACCCAAAATGAAAGGTTACGTGCCCTTGGCATGCTACAGATCGGCACAACACAGGCGGTTGTGGCGCGGACGATGAATGTTTCTCAGTCTGTCATAAGCAGGCTATGGTCCAGATACCGTGATACACAATCTGTACAGGACAGACCACGCTCAGGTCGACCAAGGGCGACAACTCAAGCCCAGGATCGATTTATCCGTACCTTGGCCTTGAGAAATCGTGTCATCACAGCAAATCAGATCAGCGCTCGTCTTCAAACAGACACTGGTGTGAGAGTGAGTGGCCAGACGATTCGGAATCGACTGCATAGGGGTCACCTTCGCGCCCGACGTCCTCGCGTGATCCCTTGTTTGAGAGATCATCACATTCAGGCAAAACGTCGTTGGTGTAGGGATCGTCAACACTGGGATAATCGACGCTGGAGCAATGTGATGTTTTCAGATGAGTCAAGGTTCACTGTTGATTTTTTGGACAGACGTAGGAGGGTGTGGCGTCGTCGAAACGAGCGCTTCCAAGACGTTAACGTCATCAGACATGATCGATTTGGGGGTGGTTCTGTTATGGTGTGGGGAGGCATCACTGTTGCTGGAAGAACGGCTTTACATGTTGTTGCAGGGCGTGTTACAGGCCAGTACTACCGGGACAACATCTTGGCAGTCCATGTTGTGCCGTTCGCACGACGTCATGGCCGCCGTTTCATCTTCCATGATGACAACGCAAGATGTCACAGGGCCAGGATCGTTACAGGTTACCTCCAACAACACAACCTCACCACCTTACCTTGGCCAGCACTGAGTCCCGACCTCTTCCCCATCGAGCATGTCTGGGACATGCTTGGACAGAGGTTACGTCAACGTCAACAACGTCCTGCCAATGTCCAAGAACTTGCTGCTGCGTTGCAACAGGAATGGGACAATCTGGACCAAAATGACCTTAGACGTCTCATTAGGAGTATGCCACGTCGGATCAATGCTTGTTTGGCAAACAGAGGAGGATTTACCCGTTACTGACTTGGTTGTGATGCTGTGGTAACTTTGCTGTTTGACCCCGGGTATCATTTTACCCTTATAATGGTCAGTCTGTGCCTTACTTAGTCTAACGATCATTTGGAATAAATCGATGAATGTGAACTTCATTTCATTTTGTCATTTGTTTCTTCGTCAGTTTCATTAGGTGACTTTAATAACACTTTGGAATAAATCGATGAATGTGAACTTCATTTCATTTTGTCATTTGTTTCTTCGTCAGTTTCATTAGGTGACTTTAATAACACTTAAAAATCAAATATCCCCTACTTTTTTGAATAGTATATTTTGGATCAGTGTTATACAATGATGTTATAACTTTAATATACATTTATTTAATCAGGCTTTTAACTGACTCTGTATACAATCGTTAACATGCCCATAATCTTGTTGTTTATGTGTGATTTACATTGTCACTTTGTAAAGTGCCCCTGAACATGTTATATGAAAGGGTGCACTATAAATATGCTGTAATAATAATAATAATAATAACTTTTATATATTACAGGAAACTAATGATGTTATAACTTTTATATATTACAGGAAACTAATGATGTTATAACTTTTATATATTACAGGATACTAATGATGTTATAACTTTTATATATTTCAGCAAACTAATGATGTTATAACTTTTATATATTACAGGCAACTAATGATGTTATAACTTTTATATATTTCAGCAAACTAATGATGTTATAACTTTTATATATTACAGGCAACTAATGATGTTATAACTTTTATATATTACAGGAAACTAATGATGTTATAACTTTTATATATTACAGGCAACTAATGATGTTATAACTTTTATATATTACAGGAAACTAATGATGTTATAACTTTTATATATTACAGGCAACTAATGATGTTATAACTTTTCACCAGTATCTTAAAGATGAGAAAACTGATGATGTAGATGAATATTGTCATACTGATGATATAGATGAATATTGTCATGTTAAAGAAGAGAAAACTGATGATGTAGATGAATATTGTCATGTTAAAGAAGAGAAAACTGATGATATAGATGAATATTGTTCTGTTAAAGAACATAAAACTGATGATATAGTTGAATATTGGGATGTTAAAGATGAGAAAACTGATGATGCAGATGAATATTGCCATGTTAAAGATGAGAAAACTGATGATGTAGATGAATATTGTCATGTTAAAGATGAGAAAACTGATGTTGAAACTGTTTATCAGTGTAATTTGTGTGAAGAAGAATTTAAATTAGAATCTGATTTAGAAATACACTGTGAAATACATGTTAAAGAAGAGGAATCTGTTTTACGACAGGAGACTTGTTTTAGCCAGTATAATGAATCACAGACACAAAATTTAAAACTTTCGAAGAAACATATAAAATGTGATGTTCGTAGTAAAACTTTTAAACTGAAAAATAATCTACAGAGGCAACATACAGGTGAAAAACCTTATAAATCTGATGTTTGTAGTAAATCATTCACAAGAAAAGCTAACATTCAGCAACATGCACAGATTCATTCCCGAGAAAAAGCTTATAAATGTGATGTTTGTTGTAAATCATTTGAAAGACGTACTGACCTCAAACAACATATAGAAATTCATAAATATAACAGAGAAAAACCTTATAAATATGATGTTTGTAGTAAATCATTTACAAGTCGTTCGAACCTTCAGAAACATGTAAAGGTTCATACGAGAGAACAACATTTTGATTGTGACATGTGTAGTAAATCCTATTCTAGAAGAGTGGGTGACCTTCAGACAGAAGAAAAACCTTATAAATGTAATGTTTGTGATAAATCATTCGCTACGAACTTTAATCTAAGTTCCCACATGAGAATTCATACTGGTGAAAAACCTTATAAATGTGATGTTTGTAATAAATCATTCACCCATAATAGTAATCACCAGCGGCACATAAGAATACATACAGGTGAAAAACCTTATAAATGTGATGTTTGTAGTAAATCATTTTCTAGAAGTTATGACTTAAAAGAGCACATCAGAATTCATACTGGTGAAAACCCTTATAAATGTGATGTTTGTAGTAAATCATTTACTTGTAGTAGTTACCTACAGAACCACATCAGAAGTCATACCTTAGAAAAACTTTATAATAATGATAATAGTAGTGAAGAGACACACATGAGAACTCAGACAAATGAAAAACCTTATAAATGTGATGTTTGTGGTAAATCATGTACCCAGAGTAGTACTCTAAGGAATCATGTAATAAGGCACACTGGAGAACTGCCTTTTAGCTGTGATGTTTGTGGTAAATCTTTTAAATATGGTAGTTCTCTCCGTCTTCACATGAGGATTCATACTGGAAAACAGCCTTTTAAATGTGATGTTTGAAGTAAATTATTTTTTCATAGCGGAGCAACGCTTAATCGCTCGAAAACACATACTGGATACAAATCCTTTTACAGAAATGACTTTCTGCAAAGACACATTATCAAGTTTCAAACTGGAGACAGACCATATAAGTACATGTAGTTTCTATCATCAAGTCTCATATTGGAGACAAGCCATACATTGTATAAGTAGTCTCTATCATTCAGACAAATATTAGATAACTAGGTCATAGGCTAGATTATCCTGTCTTTTACCAATCTGAATAAAACACAGATCCTATTTCATTTCATTTTTTATAGTTCAAAATTTAGTTTTACTTGTCTTTACTACACTAGGATCTGGAAAAGTTGTTATCATTGATGTGTTCTGGATGGTGTGAGGGATTAGTCAATGAAACGATCTGTTACGGCGAGCTTTAGGCATGTTTTGCACAGAAATGTGGGTAATCCACTAGTAACATTACTGCTGATTGGTTAATGAAATGGCTGATGTCATAGGGTCAAAAGCAGCTCGTATGACCTCTTATGGCTACAACCAATCAGATAAAAATACGAAACGAAATATAGATCTGTAGTGTAGGGTAGGCCATCGGAAAGTATAAAAATACGAAACGAAATATAGATCTGTAGTGTAGCGTAGGCCATCGGGAAGTATAAAAATACGAAACGAAATATAGATCTGTAGTGTAGCGTAGGCCATCGGGAAGTATAAAAATACGAAACGAAATATAGATCTGTAGTGTAGGGTAGGCCATCGGGAAGTATAAAAATACGAAACGAAATATAGATCTGTAGTGTAGCGTAGGCCATCGGGAAGTATAAAAATACGAAACGAAATATAGATCTGTAGTGTAGCGTAGGCCATCGGGAAGTATAAAAATACGAAACGAAATATAGATCTGTAGTGTAGCGTAGGCCATCGGGAAGTATAAAAATACGAAACGAAATATAGATCTGTAGTGTAGCGTAGGCCATCGGGAAGTATAAAAATACGAAACGAAATATAGATCTTCGTGTAGCGTAGGCCATCGGGAAGTATAAAAATACGAAACGAAATATAGATCTGTAGTGTAGCGTAGGCCATCGGGAAGTATAAAAATACGAAACGAAATATAGATCTGTATTTTAATTTGATTAGAACATATATGCACCAGGGGGTCACGGTGGCTAAGTGGGTAAGGCGCTGGCTCGCTACCCTGGATGTCGGGAGTTCGATCCCTGCATTGGCCGAGCGTATGCCCGTCTTAATTAGCCCAGTTTAGAAAGGAGAACAGTAGGACGTTAAATCCCATTTCATTTCATTCCATTCTTTTACGTTATGTACAAAATGTAATTGTTTCAGAGGACACAATCGCATTAAATTAATTTAAGAAATATCTTTTCAGACCTGATAATCATCCAACACTTCCAAATTGATTATTGTAAAATTTCTCCCTTCAAGGGTCATACATGTATCTATGTTTTTTTTTAATCCAATTCATCGTCACGAAAAATTTGGTTGTAAAGTCAGTGATTAAATTCATCTATGTAAATGTATGTACTGGTGCGTGCATTTGTGTATATATTTATATATACAAAACTTAAACTGTACAAATCCTGTGTATTATGTATTTTGTGAATAAATATATCTACTAGAAAAAGAAAAGGATTATGGTGTTGTGAAGGATAAATAGTTAACTTCAGTAGCATTACTCCTTATTAAGAGGTCAGAGTTACTTGCTCTTTTTTTTATCCAGTCACCCATGACGACCATTTTTGACCTCTGTGTATAATCAGTACAAAAATATATCGTTAGAAACTTTATTCAGTGTGTCATTTATTGATCAGAGACAACTTCAGAACAGTTTGATCGCAAGGTCTGTCATTAAAGCCGGGGCATTATGAAAGATTAGATCAAGAGCTGATAGTTCTCGCTATAATAGTTAAAAAAAGGATAATGAAAAACGAAGATATTAGCCTCTGAAGGTTTGACAAGACGTTGCAATAATTGTAACCACCGTACTGGTTGTACGAAGCTAAGTCTCGCTCCTCCATTTTTAGATTAAATCAAAATGTGGCTGAACCGTTCTAATCTATTTAATATCGGAGAAATCCAATGCCATCGAGACTTGATTAAGGCCTGGATCAGTTAATTAATGTTTCATTAATAATTTAGAAAACATTTCAGGCCTACAGAAAGACCTGCAATAGGCAGTTTTAGCTCTTGCATAACAGCATTAACAATTTCATTTACAAACATTGTTCAGTAAATCTACATTTATTCATTGTATGTATGGCATCATACCAGCTTGCGACCTGCTATGGTAATATAGTAGTATGACATCATAACAGCTTGAGACATGCTATGGTAATATAGATTTAAAATAGTTATAGAAGTATACACTGTAACCCAGGTATCATTTAATCTTGTGTATCTAGCACTAATTTCTTTGTTCAAATCTTTGTTTAAAAATTTGTAAATATCATTTAAAATCACCAAAAGTCATCTTATTTGTACTTGTGTCCAGTTTAAAGGTGACTGATTAATTTTGGTAATGAGTTCCAATTTACAAGTATTTAATTTCCTGACCACTGTTCAAATATTAATCATTATACATCAATAATCAATTGGATTGTTTATTTTTTAACAGTGATCAAGAAACTAAACAAGTGTAAATTAAACACCCATTATCAAAATTAAATGGTCAGCTTTAAACTGATTTTTGCGAATTTCTAAATACAGATTTGATATTGAATGAATGTGAAAGAAATTAGTGCTGTATACACAACATAAAATGATACCTGTGTTACAGAGATAGCTCTAAAGTATTTTTAGTAATATAACTTTAAAATAGTTTGGGTAATATAGCTTAAAGTTTCTATGGTAATATTGGTTTAAAGTAGCTATGGTAATATAACTTTAAAGTAGGTATGGTAAAATAGCTTTAAAGTAGTTAGGTTGTATAGCTTTAAATTTGCTATGCTAATGTAGCTTTAAAGTAACGAGGGTAATATAGCTTTAAAGTATCTAATGTAATATAACTTTAAAGTAGGTATGGTAAAATAGCTTTAAATGATCTAATGTAATATAGCTTTAAAGGATCTAAGGTAATATAGCTTTAAAGGATCTAAGGTAATATAACTTTAAAGGATCTAAGGTAATATAACTTTAAAGTGCCAAGGATAATATAGCTTTAAAGTAGCTGAAGTAATATAACTTTAAAATAGCTGAAGTAATATAACTTTAAATAGGTTTGGGTAATCTAAGTTTAAAGGACCTGGCGTAATATAATTTTAATGTGGCTGAGAAAAAAGAAGATAAACACGTTTTGAATTTATGGTGGTTTATATGTTACCTAATGTTCATTTAGACAGAGGCTTTTTAAAAATACAACATATTGTCTTAGAAATACAGACTGCATTGAATAAAGCGAACATTCGAGAAAACAGGGGCGATATTTTGGAAAAGAGCCAAAGAGAAAATTACAACTTTTTACTGAATGAAGTGAATTTACAAGAAATATTATTTTTGTGAACTATTCGGGTTGGAGAGATCCATTACTATATCATGTATACAACCTTCTACCGGAAACGAATTCTTTTTTCGTGACGTAATATTTTATGGAAGCTAACGTTATTCTGCACTTCACTGAAGACTAAATGAAGATCTATTTACTTGACTTGTAGTTGTAGAAGAGACAGATCAGCAATCCTGTGTTACAACAGCTTCACAGATAGACAATTGTTAACAAAATAATGGTGAGCCAAAACAACACAACGATTATTATTTTAATACAGGTCAAAGTTTTAAATGACAGAAACAATTTTTTAAAAATATTTTGTGGAAATATACATAAAATGCTACCGTACCCAAAAAAAATTATTGCATCAAAATATTCTAATTAGATCCAAAGTTATTTAGGCTTCGGATTTTATAGAAATGATTAATTAGACCTTTATTTACATTACAAGCTCAACATCAACTCTGTAGACCCTTGGATGGCTTGGATTTAAAATTAAATCAATTAAATTAAATAGTAATTCAGAATCATAGATTGAAGTGGGTTATATTTCAGCCACTGGCTTTCAAGATTTCACATGAACTGAAACCCCTGTATAAAACAAAGAATAGTAAATGAATAAAATAAATAAGTGAATAGAATATATGTATCTGATGATAAACATGTACCAGTAGCCTGTGCCAACCAAAAAAGGGATGTAACACATTTATCTTAATTGGCAGTCACAAATATGGCGCAATCTTTTCGCGAAAAGTAAATCTTGCGCACGGCCTCCTGTCGGTTTCCTGAAATTTATACCAGTTCCATCCAACCAAAAAATGTTAGTTAAGTGGTCACGGTTGCTCCATATGGGAAATTTCTCACGTACACAACAGTGTCAGAATATTTTTTTTCTCCTATTGAAAAGTTTAAAATTTTGTAACTTTTTTTGTGCATGATGCAGAGCTGAAAAAAACTTAAGAATGAAGGTTTGATTTTATCATTTCAACATCAGAAAGAAAATCAGTTTCTAAAGATCTAATGTCTGTTTTAGTTATTGTGATATTTTTATTTTTTCCGCTTCAGTCAGAAATAGACCAATTTCCTTTAATTTTATTCCAATCTAATGGGTTTTTTTGATGATTTTGTTTTATCTAGTTATTTGTATTGCTTTTCTGTACGAAATATTGCCGATTTTCTTTAAACATACATTATGCAAAAGCTAAATCTGTCTATTGCAGGTCTTTTTTAGGCCTTAAATGTTATCTAAATTATTAATTAGACATTAATTAACTTATCCAGACTATAATCAACTCTCGATGGCATCGCCAACCTGCAATATTTATTGGATTAAGTTCCGATTTTCTGCTAGACTTTAATTTAATCATGAAATGAAAAATCAAGACCGTTTTTTATTGTACCGACTTTAGTAATGATATAGAGGCTAGACAGAAATTTCAAACGCTTAGTTCTTGGTTGGTAGTGAATCAATTTGAATGAAATTTTCAGCAAATTGCCTTTTATATTATCTAGTTTTTAACTATTATAGTGAGAACTGCCAACTCCCATAATGTATCTTTAAATTCTTTAAATTTAAAAGTTAAAAACAATATTTTTGTAGTAAATGTGTATATCTAGCACATGAGTGTAAAATTTGAGCCTGCTACAAAGTCATTTAGTTAGTGAACATTTTGTTTTATCACTTTTGTCCCTTTTTGTCAGAATTTCGAAAAATGGTGCTTACCTATGGGTATATAAAACCATCTACCGTACAAACAGTGGCGGCACCAGCTGTCGGTGGTTGGAGGGGCAAAGCTGGGGCAAAGTCCAAGGTTAATCGGGCAAAGGCAAGAGCTTCAACTAGGGGTAGGGGGGCCTCTCCCAGAAAATTTTGAAAAACAGACTGCCGGAAATGCAGTCTGGCAGTATTTCAGGCGCTGTTCGTCGAGATAAATAGATCATCAGAATATTGGGAGTCTACATATTTTCTGTAGTCCAAATCCTATAATTTTCCTACAGCTTTATGGTAAATTTCTATAGAATTTTCTACAGTTATGTATATAAGGAATACTATGGTATTCTATAGCTTGGCAATGTTGTCACTACTGTTTTGTTTAATGGCTATGAGGGAAATAAAATATGAACTGGATATTCCAAATTAAATCAATTTAACGTTTGGCATCTAACAAATGTTATTTGATGTTATAACTTTTATATATTACAGGAAACTAATGATGTTATAACTTTTATATATTACAGGCAACTAACGATGTTATATATTTTATATATTACAGGAAACTAACGATGTTATAACTTTTATATATTACAGGAAACTAATGATGTCATAACTTTTATATATTACAGGATACTAATGATGTTATAACTTTTATATATTACAGGAAACTAATGATGATATAACTTTTATATATTACAGGAAACTAATGATGTTGTCACTTTTTATTTATTACAGGAAACTATTGATGTTATAACTTTTATATATTACAGGAAACTAATGATGTTATATATTTTATATATTACAGGAAACTAACGATGTTGTAACTTTTATATATTACAGGATACTAATGATGTTATAACTTTTATATATTACAGGAAACGCACGATGTTAAATCCTTTCATCAGTGTGTTGTATGTGATAAGATTTTTAAACAATATGATGATTTAGAAAAACACAATAAGATACATGTTAAAGAAGAGAAAACTGATGATGTAGATGAATATTGTCTTGTTCATTTTAATGAAGAGAAAACTGATGATGTAGATGAATATTGTCATGTTAAGGAAGAGAAAATTGATGTTGTAGATGAATATTGTCATGTTAAAGAAGAGAAAACTGATGATGTAGATGGATATTGTCATGTTAAAGAAGAGAAAACTGATGATGTTGATGAATATTGTCATGTTAAAGAAGAGAAAACTCATGATATAGATGAATATTGTCATGTTAAAGTTAAGAAACCTGATCGTGTGGATGGCTATTGTCAAACTGAAGATGATATTGAAACTGTTTATCAGTGTAATTTGTGTCATGTAGAATTTAAATCTTACACTGGTTTAGAAAAACACTGTGAAATACATGTTAGTCAGCAAGGGCGAACAGGAGGAAGACATTATAAATGTGATGTTTGTGGTAAATCATTTACTCATAATGGAACTCTACAGAGACATGTCAGGACACATACCGGTGAAAAACCATATAAATGTGATGTTTGTAGTAAATCATTTGCTGTTAAATATTCTCTACAGACACACACAAGAATTCACACAGGTGAAAAACCTTATATATGTGATGTTTGTAGTAAATCATTTATCGCTAATAGTACTCTACAGGCCCACAGGAGAAATCATACAGGTGAAAGGCCTTATAAATGTAATGTTTGTAGTAAATCATTCACATCTAGTAGTAATCTACAAACCCACATAAGAATTCATACTGGTGAAAATCTCTTTAAATGTGATGTTTGTGGTAAATCATTTACTCAGAATGGTAATCTACAGACCCACATCAGAAGTCATACAAGAGGAAAAACCAAAAGTGCAGGGGGACTGCACCACACATAATTTACACAAAAATAAATATACAGACAAGACATCATACGCAGAAATCACAAACAAACGAACAATTCTTGAAATAAAGTGAATGGGTCCCGAGGCTAGCTGTAAGCATCCGCTGCGCTGTACAGTCCTAGGCGTGTTATGCTACAGGCCTGACTAAAAATGAAAAAAAAATTGATTTACAAAAAAAGACAAAAATAATGCGACCAATCTTGACAGTGGTTGTCTCTTCAATGTCGATAGTCTGCCAGTTGACGTCCTGAGTTAAACAATTTTAACAATAAGGGCAATAATCCGGAGAGAATATTGAAAAATGTTAAATAACAAGTGTAGTGAGCAAACAGCAGCAAAGCCCAACAACGAGAATATTCTGCAGTACGAAGAGTTAAAAACTCTACTCTAATAGTAAGTGCAGGAGGACCGCACTACACATAATAGGCAGATTTCGCTTTTTCATAATGTATGTTTAGCTAAGGATTTCTGTAATAAAAATATGTATTTGTGTAGTAATTTTTATAAAGATTATAATTATTTTTATTACCGTAGAATCTGTATTAAGCAGCCACTCAAGGGAATTTTCAGGAGTGGCCCTATAATAAAATCTCAGTGTTTTTTTTTGTGCTGACATCAATAGTCAGGTCAAAATACAGCTTAACCCCCCAAAAATTGCTGAAAAGGTTTCTCAACTGATTCTGGTAGGGTTTAGTGTACTTTATAACATACTAAAAGTTTACCAAAGTAGGACCCTGGAAAAGTTTTTTTTTTCAAGATGGCCACCAAAATGTCTTAATGATCATAAGTATGTAACTATCAACTCAAATTTGATGATCTTAGGGTCTATTCCTAGGGAGGTTTTTTTTTTTGGGGGGGGGGGCACAAAGAACACATTAAGATCATTAATATTGAATGAATGTGAAAGAAATTAGTGCTATATACACAACATTAAATGATACCTGGTTTACAGTGATAGCTCTAAAGTATTTTTTTAGTAATATAACTTTAAGGTAGCTATGGTGATATGGCTTTAAAGTAGTTCGGGTAAAATAGCTTTAAAGTCGCTATGGTAATATTGGTTTAAAGTAGCTAAGGTAATATTGCTTTAAAGTAGCTAAGGTAATATAACTTCAAAATACCAAGGGTGTCCCATCTTTAAAGTAGCTGAGTTAATATAGCTTCAAAGCTGCTGAAGTGAAATACCTTTAAAGTAACTGAAGTAATATAACTTTAAAGTAGCTGAAGTAATACAGCCCTAACTTATCTAAGGTAATATAGCTTTAAATGAACTGAAGTAATATAACTTTAAATTAGCTGAAGTAATATAACTTTAAAGGATCTAGGGTAATATAGCTGTCACGTAGCTGAAGTAATATAGCTTTAAAGTAGCTGAAGTAATATAGCTTTAAAAAAGCTAAAGTAATATAGCTTTAAAGTAGCTGAAGTAATAGAGCTGTGACATAGCTGGAGTAATATAGTTTTAAAATAGCTGAATTAATAGAGCTATAACATAGCTGGGGGAATATAGCTTTAAAATAGCTGAAGTAATATAACTTTAAATAGGTTTGGGTAATATAAGTTTAAAGTATCTGGCGTAATACAACTTTAATGTGGCTGAGAAAATCAGAAGATAACACATTTTGAATTTATGGTGGTTTATATGTTACCTAATGTTCATTGAGACAGAGGCTTTTTAAATATACAACATAGTGTCTTAGAAATACAGACTGCATTGAATAAAGCGAACATTCGAGAATACAGGGCGATATTTTGGAAAAGAGCCAAAGAGAAAATTAGAAATTTTGACTGAATGAAGTGAATTTCACAAGAAATATTATTTTTGTGAACTATTCGGGTTGGAGAGATCCAGGACTATATCATGTATACAACTTTCTACCGGAAATGAATTCTTTTTCCGTGACGTAATATTTTTACGGAAGCTAACGTTATTCTGTACTTCACTGAAAACTTGTTTACTAAATGAATGCCTATTTTCTATGACTTGTACTTGTAGAATAGACAGATCAGCAATCCTGTGATGCAACAGCTTCACAAATAGACAATTGTCAACAAAATAATGGTGAGGTGATTTTAGATTAAACAAAGCAACACAACAATTATTATAGGGGTTTCAGGTCAAAGTTTCATATGACAGAAAAAAAATTAAAAAAAATATTTTGTGAAAATATACATAAAATGCTACCCAAATTTTTTTATTTCATCAAAATATTCTAATTAGATTCAAAGTTATGGAATTTTAAAATCCGAGATTGACGTCAATAATGTAATCAAAATGCTCTATACCAGTCAATGCGTGTCATGGCACCAAAATAAGTGCTTTTCAGTCATATTTGAGCGACGTCATAAGCGGTATTTTCCCTTCAGAATCGCTAGTACCAATTTTAAAACTGAAATCTGCACGTTATTGTCAGCTAAAATTTATTAAAATTGTAATAATTTGAATGATAATATGTCAAATATTTATAATCTGGATGATACCTCAAGAAAGTTTTTTTTATATTTAGTCGAAATTTAGCAATTTTCAGTCATCAAAACAGATTAATCCCATTTTCTACGGGTCTAATTGTTCGATCAAGTGGTATCAACAAGCATAATAACCACAAAAATGAAAATCTCAGGCCGCGAGCGTCTCATGTAAACAAACGGTAATTTCGCTTACATTTTAATAATTTTTTAGTCTGAATCTTTGCAAATATTGAGATTTATATTAAACTATTGCAATACAATTGCTAGTAATGCATTTACATAAAATAGTAATTCAGAATCGTAGATTGAAGTGGGCTATATTTCAGTCGCTGGCTGTCCGATTTCACGCTAAAGTCACGTGACCTGAAACCCCTACTTCAGGTGTGCACTATATCATGTCATTGAGTTAACTGGCATGGTTTCGAATCCCCGGTTGTATGTGTTGCCTGTCAATCAAACGATCGGCAATTCTTGTAGACGGTGCAGACACAGTTGATGCCTATTTCTCATCCAAACTCTGTTCAGAATAAAGTAATTTGACAGAAATTTCCAATATTTTCTTTTTTTTATCATCCATAACTCTTAACTAATGTATCTTTAAACTATTACAATATAATTGCCAGCAATACAATTAAATTAAATAGTAATTCAGAATCGTAGATTAAAGTGGGTTATATTTCAGTCGCTGGCTGTCAGATTTCACGCGAGAGTCACATGACCTGAAACCCCTGTACAAAACAAAGAATATATAATGAGTAAAATACGATTAAGTGAATAGAATATGTGTCGTCTAGTATGTAAAATATTAGCTCATACGGTCATTGGTATCGTCTTCAATATCCTATCAAATGTATACACAACCCTGAGCAAAAAGTCCTATAGAATACCATTATATAGCCTTTCCACCCTTATAGAGTTACCCCCCTTAGCAAAAAGTCTTATAGAGTTACCCACGATGAGAGCGATGGAACTCTGAATATAGATTCATTATATCATTACCTTGACTAATTTCGATGGTGATAATTTTCTGCTTAGGCTAATGAGCGATAAGCAATTTGATTGGTCAAGACTTTTGAACATAACAACTCTGTTTTTAATTGAGGTAGAATGTTTAGACTTGATGTAGATGTTCATTAGGTGAATGTCTTGAGTTAATCTATTTCATTAGTCAATGCTTTGGGACAAGATAATCTTGATTCTATCTGATAGAGAGTGATGAAACTTAGTGTATAGTTTGATTGCTTGATACTTTTGAAAAAATAAAATAAATGTGTGATTAATTAATGTGTGTCATCAATTTATTTTGGGATTTCGGCGGGAGACATCAGCCTCACTGTTGGCTTGTTAGTTATTGTGATATTGTTATTTTTTCCGCTTCAGTCAGAAATAAACGAATTTCCTTTAAAGATACAATATGGGAAATTAGATAAAGAGCTGGTAGTTCTCACTAAAATAGTTTAAAACTAGATATGGAAATTGATGCACTATGAACCGAGAAATATGGATCGAAAGTTCCGCATAGCCTCTGTCATCATTACTAAAGTCGGTATGACAAAAATCATAGTCTTGATTATCCATTTAATCGTTAAATCGAGAAGGAAAGTTATGCAGCAAATCGGATCATAATCCAACAAATCTCACAGGCTAGCGTTGACATCGAGAGTTGATTATGGTCTGGATACGTTAATTAATGTCTAATTAATAATGTAGATAACATTTCAGGCCTAAAGAAATACCTGCAATAGGCAGATTTAGCTCTTGCATAATGTATGTTTAATTTTATTCCAATCTAAAGGGTTTTTTTTTTATGATTTTGTTTTATCTAGTTATTTGTATTGGTTTTCTTTACGAAATATTGCTGAATTTCTTTAAATTCTTTAAATTTAAAAGCTAAAAACAATATTTTTCTGGTTGATTTTAGTAAATGTGTATATCGAGCACACGAATGTAAAATTTGAGCCTGCTTCAAAGTCATTCAGTTAGTCAAAAAATTTTGACAGAATTTCAAAAAATGGTGCTTACGTATGGGTATATAAAACCAGCTACAGTACAAAAAAAAAGGTTTTGAACCTATTTTGAATATTTAAACAGATTAATGATTCTCAGGATTTGAAAAATTTCTGGTCTTTAGCATTGAATATGATAAGCGGTATCGCATAGCAGTTTGCTAAACAAAAACGACGTAAGTGGGAATCAAATATTAAATTGATTAGCAGAAAGTTATCAAATTTAAGGGAATCTGCGAATCAAGTTTCTTGTCCCAAACTAAGCGTGAAAAAATGTTTAACAAACTTGATTTACCGTTCCACTGCGTACGGACATTTTAATCGCCTTGATGTCGCTCGATGAGATTAAAAGTAGTCAATGATTAGTCAATAAACTAATTGTAAGCTAACCTTTTAACAGTCATTCAGTTCACGATCTAACTAAAAGTTAGTACAAACGTTAGATTTGATAATTTCATAAATATTGAAGTTGTAGCTCGATAATTATTCACAAAACAATAATTTTTATCTCTAGCCATTTTGTTTCGTACGAATTCCCATCTGGCATCCTATTTACCATCACTGTTTTTAATCGTTTTCCCTTCACAGAACAACAAAATATAATCATACGAAAAATGTATCCACCCGAAGCTCGCACTGTTATTACCTATACACACCATTTTAATTGCTATTCGTTTTACAAACTACTATGCGACTAAAATGGCACTTAGTTCATTTTGGCGGGAAAAAATGTCACGTGGACAAATAAATACAACATGGCGACAATGCATGCATTGCATACGGGTGTCAATGCTACTATGTATTTTTAAAGGAGCTAAATCGCTAATATTTTGGACCTAGAAATTGGCACAAAGGGGGCACAACACATATAATAATGTAATATGAATTTATATAAACTGTTTTATATTCAATCGTGTTCGTTTTACTGTTAATTGTCATCAGTTATGTTCGGCGAAATACGCCAGAAGTGTCAACCGCAAGTCAGTTTCTATCGTCTGGTTATTTCAGTCAACACCTATATTATTTATTGCGCATGCTCTCCAAATAAGAACATGATATCACCGTTTGACATGACTTGTGGAATATGTCTAGCCTCATTCTTTGAGCACCTTGTTACAAATGGCGCTGAAACGTATTATGGTACACGATTCGTGTACCAATGATAAAA